ACTTGAGTGTACAAGGAACGTATGTGTACAGGGAACTTGAGTGTACAGGGGACGTTTCAGTACAGGGAACTTGTGTGTACACGGAACGTATATTTACAGGAAACGTATTTGTACCGTGAACTTGAGTGTACACGAAACGTATTTGTACCGGGAACTTGAGTGTACACTGAACATATCTATACAGGGAACTTGTGTGTACAGGGAACGTATTTGTACAGGGAACGTATCTGTACAGGGAACGTATCTGTACAGGGAACTTGAGCGTTCAGGAAACTTAAGTGTACTGGGTGCTTATGTGCACAATTATTGATGAAGGGAACATCTCCGTATGTAGGGGAACATAAGTTATCGGGGAACATAGAGGTACACAAGACATGAGATATGTTACACGGTGTTAGCACTGGCACTTGTTAACGGAGAAAGAATGAACAAATGGACCTTTAAACAGCTGAACAGGCTAGGGTTTGACCTATTGAATGTGAGTTAAACAGCTGACTGACCTAGAGCTTGACCTATGAATATGAGTTAAACAGCAAACTGACCAGGCATTGAACTTGGAATGATCGAATCTAACGCTCACAAGATGGGCAATGAAGGAGTCTAACAGCTGACTAAAGTAAAGGAGTCTAACAGCTGACTAAAGTGAAGGAGTCTAACAGCTGACTAAAGTGAAGGAGTCTAACAGCTGACTAAAGTGAAGGAGTCTAACAGCTGACTGAAGTGGAGTCTGACTAAAGTGAAGGAGTCTAACAGCTGACTGAAGTGAAGGAGTCTAACAGCTGACTAAAGTGAAGGAGTCTAACAGCTGACTAAAGTGAAGGAGTCTAACAGCTGACTAAAGTGAAGGAGTCTAACAGCTGACTAAAGTAAAGGAGTCTAACAGCTGACTAAAGTGAAGGAGTCTAACAGCTGACTAAAGTGAAGGAGTCTAACAGCTGACTAAAGTGAAGGAGTCTAACAGCTGACTAAAGTGAAGGAGTCTAACAGCTGACTAAAGTGAAGGAGTCTAACAGCTGACTGAAGTGAAGGAGTCTAACAGCTGACTAAAGTGAAGGAGTCTAACAGCTGACTAAAGTGAAGGAGTCTAACAGCTGACTAAAGTGAAGGAGTCTAACAGCTGACTGAAGTGAAGGAGTCTAACAGCTGACTAAAGTGAAGGAGTCTAACAGCTGACTAAAGTGAAGGAGTCTAACAGCTGACTAAAGTGAAGGAGTCTAACAGCTGACTGAAGTGAAGGAGTCTAACAGCTGACTAAAGTGAAGGAGTCTAACAGCTGACTAAAGTGAAGGAGTCTAACAGCTGACTAAAGTGAAGGAGTCTAACAGCTGACTGAAGTGGAGTCTGACTAAAGTGAAGGAGTCTAACAGCTGACTAAAGTGAAGGAGGCTAACAGCTGACTAAAGTGAAGGAGTCTAACAGCTGACTAAAGTGAAGGAGTCTAACAGCTGACTAAAGTGAAGGAGTCTAACAGCTGACTAAAGTGAAGGAGTCTAACAGCTGACTGAAGTGGAGTCTGACTAAAGTGAAGGAGTCTAACAGCTGACTAAAGTGAAGGAGTCTAACAGCTGACTAAAGTGAAGGAGTCTAACAGCTGACTAAAGTGAAGGAGTCTAACAGCTGACTGAAGTGGAGTCTGACTAAAGTGAAGGAGTCTAACAGCTGACTGAAGTGAAGGAGTCTAACAGCTGACTGAAGTGAAGGAGTCTAACAGCTGACTAAAGTGAAGGAGTCTAACAGCTGACTAAAGTGAAGGAGTCTAACAGCTGACTAAAGTGAAGGAGTCTAACAGCTGACTGAAGTGAAGGAGTCTAACAGCTGACTAAAGTGAAGGAGTCTAACAGCTGACTAAAGTGAAGGAGTCTAACAGCTGACTAAAGTGAAGGAGTCTAACAGCTGACTAAAGTGAAGGAGTCTAACAGCTGACTAAAGTGAAGGAGTCTAACAGCTGACTAAAGTGAAGGAGTCTAACAGCTGACTGAAGTGAAGGAGTCTAACAGCTGACTAAAGTGAAGGAGTCTAACAGCTGACTAAAGTGAAGGAGTCTAACAGCTGACTAAAGTGAAGGAGTCTAACAGCTGACTAAAGTGAAGGAGTCTAACAGCTGACTGAAGTGAAGGAGTCTAACAGCTGACTAAAGTGAAGGAGTCTAACAGCTGACTAAAGTGAAGGAGTCTAACAGCTGACTAAAGTGAAGGAGTCTAACAGCTGACTGAAGTGAAGGAGTCTAACAGCTGACTAAAGTGAAGGAGTCTAACAGCTGACTAAAGTGAAGGAGTCTAACAGCTGACTAAAGTGAAGGAGTCTAACAGCTGACTAAAGTGAAGGAGTCTAACAGCTGAATGAAGTGGAGTCTGACTAAAGTGAAGGAGTCTAACAGCTGACTAAAGTGAAGGAGTCTAACAGCTGACTAAAGTGAAGGAGTCTAACAGCTGACTGAAGTGGAGTCTGACTAAAGTGAAGGAGTCTAACAGCTGACTAAAGTGAAGGAGTCTAACAGCTGACTAAAGTGAAGGAGTCTAACAGCTGACTAAAGTGAAGGAGTCTAACAGCTGACTGAAGTGGAGTCTGACTAAAGTGAAGGAGTCTAACAGCTGACTGAAGTGAAGGAGTCTAACAGCTGACTGAAGTGAAGGAGTCTAACAGCTGACTAAAGTGAAGGAGTCTAACAGCTGACTAAAGTGAAGGAGTCTAACAGCTGACTAAAGTGAAGGAGTCTAACAGCTGACTGAAGTGAAGGAGTCTAACAGCTGACTAAAGTGAAGGAGTCTAACAGCTGACTAAAGTGAAGGAGTCTAACAGCTGACTAAAGTGAAGGAGTCTAACAGCTGACTAAAGTGAAGGAGTCTAACAGCTGACTAAAGTGAAGGAGTCTAACAGCTGACTGAAGTGAAGGAGTCTAACAGCTGACTAAAGTGAAGGAGTCTAACAGCTGACTAAAGTGAAGGAGTCTAACAGCTGACTAAAGTGAAGGAGTCTAACAGCTGACTAAAGTGAAGGAGTCTAACAGCTGACTGAAGTGAAGGAGTCTAACAGCTGACTAAAGTGAAGGAGTCTAACAGCTGACTAAAGTGAAGGAGTCTAACAGCTGACTAAAGTGAAGGAGTCTAACAGCTGACTGAAGTGAAGGAGTCTAACAGCTGACTAAAGTGAAGGAGTCTAACAGCTGACTAAAGTGAAGGAGTCTAACAGCTGACTAAAGTGAAGGAGTCTAACAGCTGACTGAAGTGGAGTCTGACTAAAGTGAAGGAGTCTAACAGCTGACTAAAGTGAAGGAGTCTAACAGCTGACTAAAGTGAAGGAGTCTAACAGCTGACTAAAGTGAAGGAGTCTAACAGCTGACTAAAGTGAAGGAGTCTAACAGCTGACTAAAGTGAAGGAGTCTAACAGCTGACTGAAGTGGAGTCTGACTAAAGTGAAGGAGTCTAACAGCTGACTGAAGTGTAGGAGTCTAACAGCTGACTGAAGTGAAGGAGTCTAACAGCTGACTAAAGTGAAGGAGTCTAACAGCTGACTAAAGTGAAGGAGTCTAACAGCTGACTAAAGTGAAGGAGTCTAACAGCTGACTGAAGTGGAGTCTGACTAAAGTGAAGGAGTCTAACAGCTGACTGAAGTGTAGGAGTCTAACAGCTGACTAAAGTGAAGGAGTCTAACAGCTGACTGAAGTGAAGGAGTCTAACAGCTGACTAAAGTGAAGGAGTCTAACAGCTGACTAAAGTGAAGGAGTCTAACAGCTGACTAAAGTGAAGGAGTCTAACAGCTGACTAAAGTGAAGGAGTCTAACAGCTGACTGAAGTGGAGTCTGACTAAAGTGAAGGAGTCTAACAGCTGACTGAAGTGTAGGAGTCTAACAGCTGACTGAAGTGAAGGAGTCTAACAGCTGACTGAAGTGAAGGAGTCTAACAGCTGACTAAAGTGAAGGAGTCTAACAGCTGACTAAAGTGAAGGAGTCTAACAGCTGACTGAAGTGGAGTCTGACTAAAGTGAAGGAGTCTAACAGCTGACTGAAGTGTAGGAGTCTAACAGCTGACTGAAGTGAAGGAGTCTAACAGCTGACTAAAGTGAAGGAGTCTAACAGCTGACTAAAGTGAAGGAGTCTAACAGCTGACTAAAGTGAAGGAGTCTAACAGCTGACTGAAGTGGAGTCTGACTAAAGTGAAGGAGTCTAACAGCTGACTGAAGTGTAGGAGTCTAACAGCTGACTAAAGTGAAGGAGTCTAACAGCTGACTGAAGTGAAGGAGTCTAACAGCTGACTAAAGTGAAGGAGTCTAACAGCTGACTAAAGTGAAGGAGTCTAACAGCTGACTAAAGTGAAGGAGTCTAACAGCTGACTAAAGTGAAGGAGTCTAACAGCTGACTGAAGTGGAGTCTGACTAAAGTGAAGGAGTCTAACAGCTGACTGAAGTGTAGGAGTCTAACAGCTGACTGAAGTGAAGGAGTCTAACAGCTGACTGAAGTGAAGGAGTCTAACAGCTGACTAAAGTGAAGGAGTCTAACAGCTGACTAAAGTGAAGGAGTCTAACAGCTGACTAAAGTGAAGGAGTCTAACAGCTGACTAAAGTGAAGGAGTCTAACAGCTGACTAAAGTGAAGCTAAAGCTGTATTGGGTGAACCCACGATTGACCACAGACGCGTGTAGGCCGAGAAGGTCGACATCTGATAGCCTTGTGTGAGAAAACAAACGGCTCTTTCTAAAGTTTCATTCGTTTATTTATCACGTACGTCCTCAAGTTTCGTGTGGGATCACTTTTTTACGACCTAAACAAGACGACTAAATGGTGAATTTATGTCTGTCCCAACTTTCAATATTTGTTTATCGCAATGTTGACCGTCTCCTAGACCCGATATTGACCATCTCCTATACCAGATGTTGGCCATCTTCTTGTCCCAGTGTTGACCTCCAATTTGTCCCCATGTTTTAATGAAATCCCCATGTTTTAATAATGTCCCCATGTTTTAATTATGTCCCCATGTTTTAATGATGCCCATCCATCTGTTGCAGCGGTCAGGCTGATGAAGCAGTGGCCGGGTAAGGCATGCTGCGATATGGCCAAGGGGAAAGAATGCCGCAAAAAGTGCAACTCGGTAAGTCGTTGATGTCTGTAGCTATACAAGCCTGTAGCTGTATGTATCTGTAGGTGTTTATGCCTGTAGCTGTACATGCCTGTAGCTGTACATACCTGTAGCTGTACATGCCTGTATCTGTATGTAGCTGTACATGCCTGTAGCTGTACATGCCTGTAGCTGTACATGCCTGTAGCTGTACATGCCTGTAGCTGTACATGCCTGTAGCTGTACATGCCTGTAGCTGTACATGCCTGTATCTGTATGTAGCTGTACATGCCTGTAGCTGTACATGCCTGTAGCTGTACATGCCTGTAGCTGTACATGCCTGTAGCTGTACATGCCTGTATCTGTACGTAGCTGTACATGTCTGTAGCTGTACATGCCTGTAGCTGTACATGCCTGTAGCTGTACATGCCTGTAGCTGTACATGCCTGTAGCTGTACATGCCTGTAGCTGTACATGCCTGTAGCTGTACATGCCTGTAGCTGTACATGCCTGTAGCTGTACATGCCTGTAGCTGTACATGCCTGTAGCTGTACATGCCTGTAGCTGTACATGCCTGTATCTGTATGTAGCTGTACATGCCTGTAGCTGTACATGCCTGTAGCTGTACATGCCTGTAGCTGTACATGCCTGTAGCTGTACATGCCTGTAGCTGTACATGCCTGTATCTGTATGTAGCTGTACATGCCTGTAGCTGTACATGCCTGTAGCTGTACATGCCTGTATCTGTATGTAGCTGTACATGCCTGTAGCTGTACATGCCTGTAGCTGTACATGCCTGTAGCTGTACATGCCTGTAGCTGTACATGCCTGTAGCTGTACATGCCTGTAGCTGTACATACCTGTAGCTGTACATGCCTGTAGCTGTACATGCCTGTAGCTGTACATGCCTGTAGCTGTACGTGCCTGTAGCTGTACATGCCTGTAGATGTACATGTCTGTAGCTGTACATGCCTGTAGCTGTATGTGCCTGTAGCTGTACATGCCTGTAGCTGTACATGCCTGTATCTGTATGTAGCTGTACATGCCTGTAGCTGTACATGCCTGTAGCTGTACATGCCTGTAGCTGTACATGCCTGTAGCTGTATGTGCCTGTAGCTGTACATGCCTGTAGCTGTACATGCCTGTAGCTGTATGTGCCTGTAGCTGTACATGCCTGTAGCTGTACATGCCTGTAGCTGTACATGCCTGTAGCTGTACATGCCTGTAGCTGTACATGCCTGTAGCTGTACATGCCTGTATCTGTATGTAGCTGTACATGCCTGTAGCTGTACATGCCTGTAGCTGTACATGCCTGTAGCTGTACATGCCTGTATCTGTATGTAGCTGTACATGCCTGTAGCTGTACATGCCTGTAGCTGTACATGCCTGTAGCTGTACGTGCCTGTAGCTGTACATGCCTGTAGCTGTACGTGCCTGTAGCTGTACATGCCTGTAGCTGTACATGTCTGTAGCTGTACATGCCTGTAGCTGTATGTGCCTGTAGTTGTACATGCCTGTAGCTGTACATTCCGGTAGCTGGCGGGGAATGTTGATTGTAAAACAATGGACTGGTGTGATTACGTTGTCGTGAGATCAGGGGGGGGGTAAATATCTAATGAGTCTGTCAGTCCTCTGATAGCATGGAGAGCAAAACTGTTGTGCTATCACTCATGTTTTTTTGGACAACTCATTAACGTTGGTGTTAGAGCATGCCAGGTCGCTGCTAGGGGTCTCTGTTAGCACGTGAAGCTGTAGGTCAGCAGCTGTTAGTACATGAAGCTGTAGGACAGCTATGAGACAGCGTGTGCAGCTATGAGACAGCAGCTGTTAGCGTGTGCAGCTATGGGACAGCAGCTGTTAGCACATAAAGCTGTAGGACAGCAGCTGTTAGCATGTGCAGCTATGGGACAGCAGCTGTTAGCGTGTGAAGCTGTAGGACAGCAGCTGCCATAGCTCACTGTTTGACTTGAAGCTGAAGGCAGCATCTGGCACACCCCCCCCCCCCTCAGCCAATCTGGCACACCCCCCCCCCCTCAGCCAATCTGGCACACCCCCCCCCCCCTCAGCCAATCTGGCACACCCCCCCCCCCCTCAGTCAATCTGGAACACCTCCCCCCCCCTCAGTCAATCTAACACACACCCCCAGTCAATCTGGCACACACATACCCCCCCTCAGTCAATCTGGCATACCCCCACCCCCCTCAGCCAATCTGGAACACCCCCCCCCCTCAGCCAATCAGGCACCCCCCCCTCAGTCAATCTGGCACACACATACCCCCCCCTCAGCCAATCTGGAAGACCCCCCTCCCCTCAGCCAATCTGGCCTTCCCCCCCCCCCTCAGCCAATCTGGCACACCCCCCCCCCCCCTCAGCCAATCTGGAACACCCCCCCCCCCCACTCAGTCAATCTGGCACACCCCTCAGTCAATCTGGCACACATCCCTCTTCCCCCTCAGCCAATCTGGAAGACCCCCCTCCCCTCAGCCAATCTGGCCCCCCCCCCTCAGCCAATCTGGCACACCCCCCCTCAGCCAATCTGGCACACCCCCCCCCCCCCTCAGCCAATCTGGCACACCCCCCCCCTCAGCCTATCTGGCTCACCCCCCCCCCCCCCTCAGCCAATCTGGCACACCCCCCCCCCCCCCTCAGCCAATCTGGCACACCCCCCCCCCCCTCAGCCTATCTGGCTCACCCCCCCCCCTCAGCCAATCTGGCACACCCCCCCTCAGCCAATCTGGCACACCCCCCCCCCCTCAGCCAATCTGGCACACCCCCCCCCCCCTCAGCCAATCTGGCACACATCCCCCTTCCCCCTCAGCCTATCTGGCTCACCCCCCCCCCCCCTCAGCCAATCTGGCACACCCCCCCTCAGCCAATCTGGCACATACACCCCCCCTCAGCCAATCTGGCACACATCCCCCTTCCCCCTCAGCCTATCTGGCTCACCCCCCCCCCTCAGCCAATGTAGCAACCCCCCCCCTCCCAGCCAATGGCATGCCCCCTCAGCCAATCTGGCACACCCCCCAGTCAATCTGGCACACCCCCCCCCCTCAGTCAATCTGGCACACCCCCCAGTCAATCTGGCACACCCCCCCCCCCCTCAGTCAATCTGGCACACCCCACAGTCAATCTGGCACACCCCCCCCCTCAGCCAATCTGGCACACCCCCCCCCCCCTTCAGCCAATCTGGCACACCCCCCAGTCAATCTGGCACACCCCCCCTCAGCCAATCTGGCACCCCCCCCCCCTCAGTCAGTCTGGCACACCCCCCTCCCCCTCAGCCAATCTGGCACACCCCCCAGTCAATCTGGCACACCCCCCTCAGCCAATCTGGCACCCCCCCCCCCCTCAGCCAATCTGGCACCCCCCCCCTCAGCCAATGTAGCAACCCCCTCCCCCCCCCCCCAGCTAATCTGGCACCCCCCTCAGCCAATCTGGCACCCCCCCCCCCCCCAGCTAATCTGGCACATGCCATGGCCCATGTCAGCCTGGTTTATCCTAAAAATAAACAAACACCAGATTTGTTTTAACTCCGACCAGGGTGCTGGTGGGGGGAGGGAGGGGGGAAGTGACTTGTCACTGTTGGCTTCCACTAAACACATCTGGCATTATATATGTGTGTGTACTGTATAATCATCTATTTTTTTATATGTATATACACAAACATTTATAAATAAATACACAAAGTGGGGATATATCCCTCCCTGATTCTGGATATGTATAGACAACTGTTATTAGTTGTGCAAGATTATTGAATGTAGAGTAGGTGCACACAGTACATTGTACATTCTGTGTAGATCTAAATTAATAACTGATGTAAATCATGTACATATCACTAACACCATAAATTTACGCCATATATTGAGTGCACAGCACTATATATCATGTACATATACCAGTACACCGCCCCAGTGTAACTGTACATGTACACATTTCAACCTGGCAAGCCTAAGTTATTTGAGCACGTTTTGGTTCAGCCAGGCATAAAAACCTGGCCAGAGGAATGTCATCTGGTGGCACGGTTGATTTGACAGCAGCTGATTGTTTACCTAAAGATGGAGCAGTTACTGCAGGCAGCTCACCTGTCTTAGAGCTGATGAACATTGCTCGTTAGAGGCGGGTGTCAGGCGGGTAAAAAACACCTTGGTTAAACACTAACGATGTCTGAATATCAATTTTCTGTCAGGCTATGGTATTTTTTCCTTAAGTGCATCATGTTTACCTGATGTGCTTATGAGCTGCTGTATGATTTTAACAAAAGCTGGGTGCTTATTGTACCATGCTATACTGTAGTGTTACCCATCACATACAACATGTAATGCTTAGCTGTCCTATCATATACACAAGGGGATGATTTCGTATGGTAGTGTTACATATGGAGAAACTATGCCTCACAGGGCTGTCAAACAGATGTTACAATTTGTATGTTGTCAACATTAAGGATTTGTTGCAGTGTTTAACAGTTAAAGATAAGCTCACATTGACTGGTAGTACCAATCTAATGGACAATTTTTAAACCTCCCAAGTAGACAAGTTAAAATAACTTTTCCAAGTGACACATTAAACAAAAATAATTTCCCTCATTTGCCAAGTAACAGCAACAAAATAGACAAGTTTTGTCTTCCTCTCACTTTGATGTTGCCATGACATCCAGTCAATAAAATAGACAAGTTTTGTCTTCCTCTCACTTTGATGTTGACATGACATCCACTCAATAAAATAGACAAGTTTTGTCTTCCTCTCACTTTGATGTTGACATCCACTCAATAAAATAGATAACTTTTGGCTTCCTCTCACTTTGATGTTGACATCCAGTCAATAAAATAGACAAGTTTAGTCTTCCTCTCACTTTGATGTTGACATCCACTCAATAAAATAGATAAGTTTTGGCTTCCTCTCACTTTGATGTTGACATCCACTCATGGTTTGATCTGGTCTGACTGCGGGTATTGATTGAAGCTCTGCCTTATAATTATCTCCCCTACACCAGTATTATTGAGTCATGCCAGGGGCTGGCATTAGATGCTGGAGTAAACAGGCTGAGGTGATTTCTACAGAAATTACCTGACTGCCAGTGCCCTGAGGGGGCTGATGCTTAGTGGAGGGTTAGTCTTTGTTCACACACTATCTGGGCTTTATTTGTTTTCTCAGGTTTAAATTCTGTAACCCTTGCAGTTGTTTCTTCCAGTTTTGAGCAGTAAAAAATGTAATTGATGTAGTAATGTCAAGTGAAGACACACAATGGATGTTATTGATGTGGAGGAGTAGTATGATTTGACTCCCTGGGTGGCTGTATTATGTTCTAGAAAGTTGGATGTCAGAGATGGGGAGATGAAAGCTGCAAATTGGGAAATTAAAGGGTAGAACAGAGAATGGTGGCATGGATTTTATTTTTTTGTCTCCAAATTGGGTGGGTGTACTTTAGTGAGAGACAAAGGATTTTGAAACATGGTTATGTACTTTGGCTGTGGGTCCTGAAAGGCTATCACACCCGACTATACTTTAGCCATGGGTCTTTCATGGCTGACCACATCCCTGTAGTATACAACAACTGACTACCCACCTTTGTCCAATGTAAATGACCACTGTAAAATAAATTTACCCTCTTGACCACAGTTAGGATGAGCACACTTTTCATTTACCCACACAATTGACCACACACAACTTACCTCACACAACTGACCACACCCTACTAATGAGCTCTGTCCTGTTCACAGGCTGACAGTAGAGACACAATGGAGAGGTCGTGTAAAGAAAACTCAGAAGCTTCACTAGTTGCATGTATCAACAACCAGGAAGGCAAGTACACCAAAGAGTCACGTTTTTACTTTAATCATGAGACCAAAGGGTCACGTTTTTACTTTAATCATGAGACCAAAGGGTCACGTTTTTAATTTATTTAATAGACCATAGGACTATATATAGTAAGACGTTTCTCACAATGTCTTCAGCATTTATAAACAATGAAAGTAGTTTACATCACTTCCCTTTCTTTGTGGTCAGATGGTCATCCCTGCTGCAGCAAGGCCATTGGGACGTCATGTGGCATCGTGTGTCAGGGAATTTATCTGGCCGGTGTCAGCAGTAACCTGCGACCCAACAGGAAGGTCCTGGGTCAACACTGCAGGGACACTGACAAGATGGTGGAGACTTGTGTCCTGATGCAGAGGCAACCACAGTCAAACAGTACACAGCACTGTAAGTAGCCAGTCTTATTTAGTCTGGTTAGTTATATCTTAACCATATCTCTGCACACAGCCATTCACTACATCGGTCACTGGCCTTTTGCCACAGTCGTTCTGTCTGTGTTTCTGCGCACATACCCAAAACATTGAACATAAAAGTTGTACTAAAACCATACCCTTTGTCCATAGATCTCCCCTGCTGTGATAAAGCCCAGACCGCCAGTTGCAAGTCCAAGTGTCGCAGTGTCCTGCAGACCGTCATGTCTGAAGAAGATCAGATTGAAGAGGTCATCAAGGCTTGCAGTTATCCACAGCCCACTGTAAGTTGTAATTGTAGACCACAGGGCTTGTCTTATCTACAGCCCACTGTAAGTTGTAATTGTAGACCACAGGGCTTGTCTTATCTACAGCCCACTGTAAGTTGTAATTGTAGACCACAGGGCTTGTCTTATCCACAGCCCACTGTAAGTTGTAATTGTAGGCCACAGGGCTTATCCACAGCCCACTGTAAGTTCTAATTGTAGTACTGAATTACAGTACTTTAAATCTATTACACACAGCTCCTTAAAAATTGTTTTTCCCCCACCCCTACTATGACATACCATTCTCCCTTCCCTGTTGTGGCTGTCATCATTGCCTGCCCCCCCCCCCCAATAAGTTATGCTTAACCCTGACGTACCATTGCCCCTCTCCCCCCTCCCCCAATATGTTATGTTTAACCCTGACTTACCATTCCCTCTCCCCAGGACCCCCTGTGGCAGTGTTTCCTCCACAACCCACAGACCAAGAAAAATGAATCAGCGCCGCTGTCTGTGGACAACGCCAAGTTCCAGTGTTGTGGGAAGGCAGCATCAGCCAGGTGTAGGGAGCTGTGTTCACAGGTGGGTCAGGTGGTGTGGTCAGTTCACACTCAAGACAGGAGTAGGTCATTTTTGGTCAGGTCACACTCTGGACAATAGTAGGTCATTGGTTGGGGTCAGTTCTCACTGGACAATAGCAGGTCATTCCTTGTAGTTAGGTCACACTCTAGACAATAGTAGGTCATTGGCTGTGGTCAGTTCACACTGGACAATAGTAGGTCATTCATTGTGGTTAGGTAACACTGGACAATAGGTCATTGGTTGTGGTCAGTTCACACTGGACAATAGTAGGTCATTCATTGTGGTTAGGTAACACTGGACAATAGTAGGTCATTGGTTGGGGTCAGTTCACACTGGACAATAGCAGGTCATTCATTGTGGTTAGGTAACACTGGACAATAGGTCATTGGTTGTGGTCAGTTCACACTGGACAATAGTAGGTCATTCATTGTGGTTAGGTAACACTGGACAATAGTAGGTCATTGGTTGGGGTCAGTTCACACTGGACAATAGCAGGTCATTCCTTGTGGTTAGGTCACACTCTAGACAATAATAGGTCATTGGTAGGGTTCAGTTCACACACTGGACAATTTTAGGTCATTGGATGTGGTCAGTTACACTCAGGACAAAAGCATTGTACCATGACACTATGATAGGCCCCCTACCACATTCCTAACACTGAGGTTTTCCATGGCCATTTAATGCTGTGGTGTGTGCTACTAGAACCTATTACTCTCAGACTATAAATCTTTGAGGTCACTTAGTGCATTTTCCCCATGCTAAATCTGGTCAGCCTAAAGCTGTAGCTAGATGCCACATATCTGCTGTGTTGTCTACTGTTGTATTGTCACAAAGGTAATCTTGTGACAATGTCAACATTTCTACTTGTCTGACCCTTGAGTCACAAAGGTAATCTTGTGACAATGTCAACATTTCTACTTGTCTGCCCCTTGAGTCACAAAGGTAACCTTGTGACAATGTCAACATTTCTACTTGTCTTACCCTTGAGTCACAAAGGTAATCTTGTGACAATGTCAACATTTCTACTTGTCTGCCCCTTGAGTCACAAAGGTAACCTTGTGACAATGTCAACTTTTCTACTTGTCTGACACACCAGTCACAACTTAATCTTGTGACAATGCCAACATTTCTACTTGCAGACCTACAGGAAGCGCCTGTCTTACCAATCTGAGTTTGAAAGCAGCTGTTCCTACATCCAGCCTGTCTCTACCGTGGAGTCTAGCATGCACAACTGTCTCAATGATGGTAGGTTTGTGTTTTAAGGATGGTAGGTTCTTGTTTTTAAAAGCTGGTAGGCTCATGTTTCAATGATGTAGGTTCATATCTAAATGATGGTAGGTTCATGTTTTAATGATGGTATGTTCACATCTCATCCACTGCCATGTTCAACATGTTGCCCATCTCACGAAATGCTGTTGTGCCACCTCCAGTTGATCTGCCGTGTAAGCTGGGCTGTAGTGGCCTGTCCTTCTGCCACAACTTCAACCATCGTCCAACAGAATTGTTCCGTAGCTGTACACCCGCAGCTGATGCTGCAGCTGAAAGAGTTTACAACTTTTGGAAGAACGGAGTCATCCATCTTCACCAGCTGACCATTCCAGTCAAAGGTCTGTCCATCTGTTGTACCACCCTAGTTAACATTGTCTGGTCAGTTTATAAGGTGTAAGGGCCAAAATTATTACCTTTAATTGAAGCTCTAGTCTAGTTGAAGTGCTAGCTGCTGTCCTTATTCAGACATAGATAAGTTTACCTCTAGTTCAGTGGTTCTTAAACTTTATGGAGGTATGTAACCCCACCAATTTCATTTGTGAATTCACCCAAGCCTTTTTAATAGTTCTATCATCCACACTGACAAAATCAGATTGTGAATCATATGGGTTGGGTGTGTCTTGACTTATGCCCAACCCCTAGACTGACTCACTGAACTTGTAGAGTTATGTTGAACCCAAGTTAAGAACCACTGGTCAAGCTAAACAGTAAATTTCTATCCACATACAGACATTGACCAGTGTAAACCAGCTATGTGGAAGGCCATAGCCTGTGCATTGGAGATCAAGCCTTGCATCTCACAACAAAGTTTGATTACACTATGCAAGTAAGTGACCATTGGTTGTGTCCATATACACATTACTTCTGTGGTCTATCCATGTTCACATTACATCATTGGTGTATCCACATACACATTACATCAGTGGTGTATCCACATACACATTACATCAGTGGTGTATCCACATACACATTACATCATGGTGAGCCAGTTTGAGTGAGACTAACTGTCATGTAATCCACAGAGAGGAGAGTTTATTGTGATTATCCACAGTCATGTTATCCACTGAGATTTGTTTACTGTGATTATCCGCTAACTGTCATGTTATCCACAGAGAGGACTGTCTGTTGGTACTCAACATGTGTGTAGACACCAGCAAGTCAGGGGAGCAAACTGTCCCAGCACTCTGTAATGCTCTCCCCTCTAAACATGTACATGGGACTTGTGTCTCAATGGACCAGTACCTACGTAAGTGTTGTTTGTTGTATGGTTACACTTAAGTTAACAATGGACCAGTACCTGCATAAGTGTTGTTTGTTTTATGTTATAACACATAGAAGTTAACAAAGGACCAGTACCTATGTAAGATTTCTTAATTTCCTTAAAGTTAAAGTAACATGCCTGCTTGTTCCAGATCCCAGCCCATATGCCAGCAGAACTATGGAGGTCAAGCACCCGTGTAACCCCAACCCTTGTGGGGTGGATGAGGTGTGCCTGGTCAGGAGACGGGTCTGTAAACACGACTGTCTGCCGTACGTCTGTCACAAAGGTCAGAATCTAATGATGCACTCTAATTAATTAAAACCACACCAATGAAATTGATAGTCTTCTCGTTTCTTTTTTTTTTTTTTGCCTCATATAATGAACTGTATATTTCCCTATATGATGAACTGTATGTTTCCCTATATGATGAGCTGTATATTTGCCTGTATGTTTGCCTATATGATGAGCTGTATGTTTCCCTATACGATGAGCTGTATGTTTCCCTATATGATGAGCTGTATGTTTCCCTATATGATGAGCTGTATGTTTCCCTATATGATGAGCTGTATGTTTCCCTATATGATGAGCTGTATGTTTGCCTGTGATGAGCTGTATGTTTGCCTGTATGATGAACTGTATGTTTCCCTATATGATGAGCTGTATGTTTGCCTGTATGTTTCCCTATATGTTTCCCTATATGTTTCCCTATATGTTTGCCTATTTGTTTCCCTGTATGTTTCCCTATATGTTTCCCTATATGTTTCCCTATATGTTTCCCTGTATGTTTGCCTATATGTTTCCCTGTATGTTTGCCTGTATATTTGCCTGTATGTTTCCCTATATTTTTCCCTCTATGTTTCCCTGTTTGTTTGCCTGTATGTTTGCCTATATGTTTCCCTGTATGTTTGCCTATATGTTTCCCTGTATGTTTGCCTGTATATTTGCCTGTATGTTTCCCTATATTTTTCCCTCTATGTTTCCCTGTTTGTTTGCCTGTATGTTTCCCTATATGTTTCCCTATATGTTTCCCTATATGTTTCCCTGTTTGCCTTGTCCAGCCTGCCGTCTGGGTCAAGAGTCCAAACTCCTGGTGCCTAAGGGAACCAACGTGCGACTGGCCAACCTCGATGCCGACGTCTCACTCCAGGAAGATTGTTACCAGGCCTGCTACTGCAGCAGCAAGGGTTTGATAGAGAACTGCAAGTCTTTACCTTGTCTAAGGCGAGACGCTTGCCAACTGGGCCATGAGAACAGCAGAGGTAGGCGTTAATTTTATTCTGGTTGGTACCATCATCATTTGTGACTCAACTTTCTACTTGATGTTGTTGCATGAGACATTTGTTTTCAAATTCTAGAACACGGTGCTCAGTTTTCTGTGGACGGCAGTAAATGTGTTTGTTTCTCTGGGAAAGTGATTTGTTCTCGCAGGACTTGTCACCCTGACAACTCCCCCCTCTACACTGGTCAGTGGTTGTAACAGATTTTTTTATATTTTTCATGATTAATTTTCCTGTAAAAAACAGTTAAGATTGATGTGCTGCAATTTAACCCTATCATTTGATAACAACTGGAAAAAAATTCAAATGTAAACATAACTTGAATATGTCCATAATAAATAAAAATTGTTGGTGTCACCCCCACAGGTATGCCAGGGAGCTGCCCCACTGAATATGACCCCGTATGCGGCCCCAATGGAAAAACTTACCCAAACGCGTGCCACGCCAAATGTGCTGGAGTTTACAGCTTCACAGCAAAGAAGGCGTGTAGTGACAGAGACGTGTGTTCACAGAGGGATGTGTGTCCAGCAGGAACACACTGCGTGCCACGTCCACAGATCTGTCTGAATGATGTGTCTGTTGTCCCCTGTCCACAGTATGAGTGTGGTAGGTCATCAGCTGTTCCACATCTGGTCATGTTAGAACATCATGATGTCAACACATCAACATGACATGTCACTCAAATACATCACACAGCACCCATCATGCCAGCAGTGCTGTATAACCATTTTGTCAAATGTCACTCAATTCTCAAACCACCACCATCTCATACCATCACTTTCACATCATATAACCTTATATTATTGCACTTACCATCATATATCATCACCATCTCACACCAGTACCATCACATAGCATACAATCTCATATACCCTTACTATATCATACCATCTCAAACCATCACCATCTAACTTAACATTTCACACTATCACCATCCTATTTACCATCACACTCTCCCTTATATCATACCATCACACATCTACCATCCCACACCATCCCAATTACCATCCCATGTACCATCTGACACCACATCTACCATCATGTGTTTCCAGTCAATGAGAGCGGCCTCCTATGCAACTACCACCACCACGACCCAGTGTGCAGTACAACTGGGGAAGAGTTTACCAATATGTGTCTACTGTTGGCCCACAGGAAATCTTTGGCCTACAGAGGCCATTGCCAGGTAAAGCTCACTCATTTGTATTGCCAAATAAACTATTCTGGTTTGCAATGTCAGATAAATCTGGTCAAACTGTATGCTCAACATGACTTAACATGAGTAATTTAGATTGTCAGTTAAATATGGCTAAATGTAATTCCTAGTAAGTGAATTGTATTTTAAATATGAGAATTAAACTATGTATTATCTAACTGATATGGTCAAACTTTAAACACAAGTATTGAACATGTGATGATCAATTTTTCACAAGTTTAAACATGAGATAATCAATTTTTCACAAGTTTAAACATGAGATAATCAATTTTTCACAAGTTTAAACATGAGATAATCAATTTTGCACAAGTATTGAACATGTGATGATCAATTTTTTAGAAGTATTGAACATGTGATGATCAAATTTTTCACATGTATTGAACATGTGATGATCAATTTTGCACATGTTTTGAACATGTGATGATCAAATTTGTTCCCTTTCTCACAGACCTCCTGTTCAAACTCTGGCCCAGTTTGTGGACATGACGGTGAGACCTACGTCAGTCAGTGTGCTGCATGGGCTGCCAGGGTCACTGTTGACTACAGTGGAAAGTGTGGCGCATTTGGTTAGTTTTACATTTATTTCTGTACATTTAACTCAGTAGTTTACCTCAGGAACTTTTTTATTTACCTCAGGAACTTTTTTATTTACCTCAGGAACTTTTTTATTTACCTAAAGAACTTTTTTATTTACCTCAGGAACTTTTTTATTTACCTCAGGAACTTTTTTATTTACCTCAGGAACTTTTTTTTACCTCAGGAACTTTTTTTTTTACCTCATGAACTGTTTTATTTACCTCAGAAACTGTTTTATTTACCTCAGAAACTTACTTCACTAGCTTACCTCAGTAACTTACCTCAGTAATTTTCCTTATTCATTTACCTCAGGAACTTACCTCATTAGTTTACCTCAGTTACTTTATTTACCTCTTTCTTTATTACCTAATTAATTTACCGTAGGCCTTCACCAAACTAATGAGACTTATATCCATGTTTATAATCCCTGTGTGTGTGTGTGTGACAGGTGATTCTGGGAAGACCTGCAGCAGGGTTGAGTGTCCTCCCCTGCACCCTGCCAGCTGTGAGGGAGTTATTCCCCCTGGAGCATGTTGTCCTATATGTGGTAGGTCACCTCATCTTATAGAGCTGTGGACCAGTGCTTGTATAGTTTCCATCAAGTCATTATACATATTAATTACACAACTGATCCTCCACACAACTGACTACCCACACAACTGACCACCCACACAACTGATCCTCCACACAACTGACCCTCCACACTGCCCTAATAAAAAATGTCTGTCTGTAGCCACACAACTGACCACCCACACAACTGACCCTCCACACAACTGACCACCCACACAACTGACCCTCCACACTGCCCTAATAAAAAATGTCTGTCTGTAGCCACCCAACTGACCCTTCTCTGGGACCCGCGCCTGATGTCTGAAGCTGCCAACTTGAAGAAGACCAGAACCATCTCCACCATGGACGTCTTGACCAGTCTGTCTGACCACGTCTCTGTCCAGGAGTGTGACGTCTTTGGTCACTTGAGTGTCAATGGCGAGCTCATTGTCATCATAGGTCCTAATGTCCTGCTACCTACAGCTCTGCAGGTAATGTCCTAGTCCCACATCCCTGCAGGTTGTCCTGCTACCCACAGCTCTGCAGGTAATGTCCTGCTACCCACAGCTCTACAGGTAATGTCCTGGTCCCACATCTCTGCAGGTAATGTCCAGCTACCCACATCCCTGCAGGTAATGTCCTGCTACCCACAGCGCTACAGGTAATGTCCTGCTACCCACAGCTCTGCAGGTAATGTCCTGCTACCCACAGCTCTACAGGTAATGTCCTGGTCCCACATCTCTGCAGGTTATGTCCAGCTACCCACATCCCTGCAGGTAATGTCCTGCTACCCACAGCGCTACAGGTAATGTCCTGCTACCCACAGCTCTGCAGGTAATGTCCTGCTACCCACAGCGCTACAGGTAATGTCCTGCTACCCACAGCTCTACAGGTAATGTCCTGCTACCCACAGCTCTGCAGGTAATGTCCTGCTACCCACAGCTCTACAGGTAATGTCCTGCTACCCACAGCTCTGCAGGTAATGTCCTGCTACCCACAGCTCTGCAGGTAATGTCCTGCTACCCACATCCCTGCAGGTAATGTCCTAGTCCCATATCCCTGCAGGTAATGTTCTGCTACCCACAGCGCTACAGGTAATGTCCTAGTCCCACAGCTCTGCAGGTAATGTCCTGCTACCCACAGCTCTGCAGGTAATGTCCTGGTCCCACATCCCTGCAGGTAATGTCCTAGTCCCACATCCCTGCAGGTAATGTCCTGGTCCCACATCCCTGCAGGTAATGTCCTAGTCCCACATCCCTGCAGGTAATGTCCTAGTCCCACATCCCTGCAGGTAATGTCCTAGTCTCACATCCCTGCAAGTAATGTCCTAGTCCCACATCCCTGCAGGTAATGTCCTAGTCTCACATCCCTGCAAGTAATGTCCTGCTACCCACAGCTCTGCAGGTAATGTCCTGCTACCCACAGCTATGCAGGTAATGTCCTGCTACCCACAGCTATGCAGGTAATGTCCTGCTACCCACAGCTATGCAGGTAATGTCCTAGTCTCACATCCCTGCAAGTAATGTCCTGCTACCTACAGCTCTGCAGGTAATGTCCTGGTCCCCTTAACATAAAAATGACATGCAACAGGCATGGATTTAAACCACAGCATCAAAGAACTTTCCTGTGTTACCTCTCCATAAAGTTTCCCATCTTAGTATTGGTATAGGGCTTGCCTTGAGAGTTGTATTTTAACAATGTTGTGAAGGAATAAAGTCTGACCCTATTTCCTGATCCCCAGGTGGAAGCTTGCCAGAGCGAGGCTGAAAGAATCCACAACCTGTTTAAGATGGGGAGCCCGACCATCTTGTCCTACCTGACACTGTCTCCCTTCCTGCTCGTCTCGCTAGAGAAGTCCTCTGTCAGTCATCTGACTGGCCTTGACCCCACCTACCAGTCAGACGCACACAGTAGAAACTTTCACTCAGCAGACAACAGCTCGCAAACTTTATCAAGTCACTTCTGGGTTCTTGTTTGTTTTTGGGTGTTGCTGTCAGTACTCTGTAATAAACAGCATCTCTTGTGACGTCAGTGAGGTCTTGTGACAACGTCAGCGACAGTAATGTCAGTGAGGTTTTGAGGGAACCTCAGAGAACTTTGGACCCTGCAAGCAGGTGGTCCCACCACAAGATTACTCATGCCTGCTGGTGACAACAGTGAAGTACACCTGCAGGATCCTGCAGGTTTCACCACTGAATTTCTCCTGCACTAACGAACACCAAATGTAATATGTGATACTAGCTGCAGGGAAGCTTTAAACAAGTAGACAGCAAACTGATGTAGACAGGACACCATTGGTGTGTTGTTACAGTGTAGACAAGACACCATTTGTGTATTGTTACAGTGTAGACAAGACACCATTAGTGTGTTGTTACACAGTGTAGACAAGACACCATTAGTGTGTTATTACATCGTAGACAGGACACCATTAGTGTGTTGTTACAGTGTAGAGATACCATTAGTAGGTTGTTACACAATGTAGACAAGACACCATCGGTGTGTTGTTACAGTGTAGACAAGACACCATTTGTGTAGACACAGTGTAGACAAGACACCATTAGTGTGTTGTTACCCTGTAACAGCAGAGATAAACCTTTGTTTACTTATATCATTGAACAACCAATTAAGTATTCTGATCATGTGAGTTCTAGATTATGGTAAACCAGCTTTAATTTGTCCCATTATTTTTTCTAGTTCTTTAACAAGACTTAAGTTTTTGTTTGTGAAATGTTTTCACATGAAAAATTCTATAACAGGAGGATTGAGTCTCATATATCTTTGTTTCTTTAGGAAACAATAGCAGGCTGCATAATACATAGTGATATTACCTTTTGTTTTATTTTTAGACTTTGCTGTAGGAAAAGCAAGTTCTGTATTGGCATAATATGAATTCAAGCTGTGTGATCATTGTATTTAACATTGCAAGATATCTTTTAGTTTAGACCAAAGAATTTTTCAGGAATTTTTTTTTTTTCCTTTTTAGCTTTACATGTACAAAGATTTGTAATCACCCTCACACTTACAATAATAGAATTTGTTACCTAATTCGTCCATATTTTTCATGTTGATTGTATATTTACATTTGTACATTGAAAGTAATTTATGAAATGCACTGCTCTGATGTGTTTAACTAGGTCTTGTAGATATTAAAGGAAGTAGAAAAGTGTATTTGAACCATTCCTGAATATACAATGTTTTGATAGCAGTGGAGAGACCAGAGGTTTGGCCATTGTACTAGTCATCATTGATGCTTGTCTGACTTGTGTCATGTGGGTTGTTGTGCTAGTTATACACATTGTAGGGTGAGCTCTAGTGTGTCACCTTGTGTGTAGTGTCTCACCTTGTGTTGTGTATCATCACTTATGGTGTCTCACCATGTGTGAAGTGTGCATCTCAGCATGAAGCGAAGCACCTCAGCATGAAGTGAAGTGTCTGGCATTGAATGTGTTGAATGATTTTTGCCTGCTGTGATGAATGTATTATCCAAGACTATTCAACTATTTATAAATATTGTCAAGAAACAAATTCACTCCATTATGGCCCTTTCAGACCTCATTTGAAATGAAACAATATTTTTCTAGTTGGTTTAAAGTTGATGCTCTACTTAAAGTATTGGAAGATTTTGTTTTACACTGTTCTATCAGTATAACAAAATGTGTATTCAAATTATGTAAACTGATGTCATGAGGTGTGTAGTATTTTAACTATTGCAGCTCATGTTTCTATAGTCTCTTACTTACAATACCTATCAACATGTCTTAATTTTACTTAAGTTACTTGTATTATATTTGTAGCCTGTGGGCATCTTAAGACAACTAGCAATAATTCTGTGGTAGATAATCTCTTTACTAGTGTATTTTAATTTCTTGTAACATGTGTATTGTTTGTATCTAATTAGTGTTAATTTTACTTGGTGAAATTTATTTTGCATAATTCAATTACTTTTTATTTTTACAATATATTTATTTTTTTAAATTTAGCACTGAGAATTTAATTCATTTACATCTGAATTGAAAGTCTATTAGTGCTGATGGGTAATTTGAGTGAATGTTTGTTTTACAGGCGAATTATTTTTAAATACAATAACTTACATTATTTCTGTATGAAAATCTGGCCACACAAAATATTGCCAGTCAGTTTCATCCCTTCTTGATTAGATATCATCACTTTTGGATTGTTTTTTTTTATGTCTTTACTGTTGTGCTTGCATGGCAATGTAAGGCTCAGTAATTATGGGTTATGAATTTCATTTGTCAGTATTATCAATTATATTTCTGACATTGTCACATTCAGTTTTATTATTGACATTGTGTGAATGCTTTAAAAACCAAAACAATTTTATAATGCTATACAATGAGAATATTTTTTACATAATTGTATATTCACTGGTAATGGTCTACTGGTAATAGTTGAAATTCAAGTACCTCCTCTAATGGGTGGTGTATACTTGACAGGACATTCAGCTAAAGCTGTTAAAGGTCAGTATGCTGGACATAAGTATATACAACTGTTAACTGGATTTGTCACACAATCCCATCCAGACAATGTGTATGATGTACAATATTATGCTTATTTGATTGTCTTTTTCACTAGAATATATTTTCAAATTTATTTTTCAAATACCTCAGGTGTGCAAGATGTTTTGCCTGGCATGGGGTACCATTCAGCCAGTACTTATGACTAATCTCTAGTTTTTAAATTTTTGGGTAGTTAAACAGCTAGAATCTCAATAGATTTGTAAAGCTAAATTCAAAATTTGTTTTTGAATGCTCAAAACAATTATGTAAGGATTTTGTTGTTTTAAATATTAGTTTCAAATTGTAATGATTTTATTAACTGTATCATGTGTTTGGGATGAACGTATTGACAATCACACATACTGATCTGATGTATAATTGTGTAATGTTAAAAACCATTTCAATGTCTAAATAAATTCATTCAAAGAAGAATCAAATTTGCAATGAACAAATGAGTTTTATTTATTGATAACTTCCAGAGGTGTTATCCAAGGTACATGTATGTTTGAGTAGCATTGCATGGTTACACCATATAGAATAAATCAGATGTACATGACTACAATATACAACACAGAGGCAACATTACATTTCTGATACTTTCTTTAGCTGCGATTGGTTCTTCAAATGTCAGCGGGACATGGACCAGCAGATGATCACAGAGGCACACACTCACACCAGACATACAACAACCCAACATGATGAATACAGCTACCAACAAGATTTTATGTGATATATTTGTACACCCATATCTCAAGACACACAAGCCAGCATCAGTTTGTTCAAAGGTCCACAATACAAATTAATTTTTAGCTTGTTCAGTTATTCCTCTGATATGTCAATACAATAGGACAACAGCTTTTTAATACTAAGAAGTATGTAAAATGCCAAATTTACAATTAGGAATAATCACTTTTGTTGACAAGCTTTTTTAAATAATATGAAAAAATATATACAGTATTGCAGGGTTTTAACTTACTGAATTCATGTTTTTTTTTTCACATTTGGGCTAAATGTGATTTAAGTATAAAAGCTCAAATTGTTTTTCTATATGTAATGTTGCTAGAATCAACACTGAAACTAAAGCAATCAACTTAAACTATGTTTCATTCCTGGTGAAAAAAAGTCATATATTATAGTGAAAACTACAATGACAACAGCAAACAAAAAGTAGCACTTTCAGGCTCGAATGCTGGGCTTAGATGTTGGGCCATCAAGAGCTTGGGGGACACCGTTGATGCTCTTAGACTTCAGAATTCCATCCTCTTCCACCATCACAGTTTCTTGGCCATTTTCAACCACCCTACAAATGAAAATAAAATTCTTTCAATAAGTCTTATTACAGTTTGCCTCATTTTCATGATAGCTGTGTTTATTTTTTGGTAACAATACTATACATTTTTAAATACATTTTTTCTTATTTTAAGTTGATAAAAAAACTTAATGTATAAAAAAATTTACTTTTTAGTAACAATACGCTTTCCATTGACTATTTTGGTTGATGTGGAGGTGGAGCGGAAGTTGCCCCCTATTGTTGGACCACCAAAACTTGTGCTGGAGAAATGGGCAGTTCTGAAAAAATCCATCAACGTTCCATTTTAATACAAACTCCATGGTATTTTCTAAAATTATGACTAAACTTATACACATGTAGGTTTTTTAATTTCTAATTAAATCCTACTTTAATTTTTAAAAATTCATTTAAGGCTGAAATATTTTAATTTAAATAATATATTTTTTAAAATTTTGATAATTTGACAATTTAAAATAGAACCTTGGATGAAAGCATACAATTTTAAATAGCTAATAACCCCTAACCCATCACTAACAGTTACCAATACATATATGGAGGGTGTATGGGAGGGAGAGGGGTGGTTGACATGAATCAGTGATAAAAATGAAAAAGAAGTTGAATTACTACCAACCTTAAATCTAACCTATATTTAAACTGAAATACTACAAACCTTAAACCTTGCCAAATCATTTAAATTGAAATACTACCAACCTTAATCTATCTAGCCAAATCATCTAACAAAATGTAACCACCATCCTCTACAATTGCCTGCCAACATGCCCTTACAACAAAATGCCATTGAGTTGTTTCATGAAAATCTACTAGAGACAGGTACATGGCCCTAGGTGGCAAAAAGTTCACAGCACATGTCATGTGTTACAAAAAAAATCTTGTTAATTAAGCTTTAGCAGATGGTCAACTGCTATAATAATTGTATACAGTTGAGATCACTTTTTTATCCAAGTGTTGAAAGGAAATTATATGAATAATATTTTCTGTTAAAAAGAGTGGTATAAAAACAATATCTGGCTAGCATTGTTATATCTGGCTCTGAAACCGTGTTGTGCTCTTGATTTAAGTGCCATGTTAAGACAAGCAAACAATAAATGTTCACCTTTTATTGATATAGTCTCTACAGATACAAGTATTCCTACACTATTTTGTTATTGTCAGTGGTATTGCTTGTGGCAAAATAAAACCTTGGAATAGCTCAGTAAATGCTTCCTCTACTCAGTCTAGCCATACCTACCAATTCATGCTATCTTGTGAGTAAAGTCATACAAGATTAGTAAACACAATGTTAAATTATTAGTAAATCATTAAAACCATCAACAATCTTAACAGTTGATTTAAGGCAAACTTCTGGATTACACAACAGCAGATTTAATGATCACTCTTGATTATAAGGGCAAAAAGGATCCTAAGACTTAAATGTTGATCCTACCCAGCGCCAACTCCAGGAAATCCAAAGAAAGGATCAGCCATCATGGACATCATGGGAAAGCCAAAGTGCACACGTGGGGAGAAGGCCAGAAAGGGATGATGGGTGTGGTGCACGTGGAGGCCACCCAGTCGGCCTCTACTGTGTTCACCCCGCCTCCGCCTCAAAGGTCGACCAAAACTGAAAAGTGAAACCAGTCCTGGAGATGTCCAACCTTGGCTGCAGCGACCTCCGCATGACCTCAACATAAGCCAGTGAGTTGCAGTGGAACATAACTACCCTCAAACATGCAGACACCATGCCATAAATAACATACAACTATCCCCCCTCTCTACACACCAAAGCTGAAGCAGTCAAGCACATATGATAGATTAACTTAGGATGGAAGGGGTCAAGGCTGGTCTTCAGTTGGTTTAAACTGGGTGAACATTTACATGCAGGACAGGAGTTTCTCTTTAAGTTAACTTATTACAGTTGATTAATGATTTAGTTTAATTAATCCCAGGTGACATAGTGTCAAGAAATGAGAAATTCGTGCAAATAAAACTAGCCATTGGTGAATGCCTGGTTGGGTCAGAATACAATGATTGAACTTTTTTTTCTGGAGATGACCAATTTATAGCGGACAAAGTAACATGCATTAGCTTGCTATATGTAAATACATAAAGCTTGGGTTTAAGGTAATGTACTTGTCTTTGGTTTAGGGTGACATTTGTTTAGCCTAGATCAACAATTTAAACAATGACAGCTAACTTTGATTTTTTAGTATTATATCAACAATTTAAACATTACACTTATCTATAAAATGTATCCAAAAATATGTAATAGAAAGAGGTAATTCACACAAATTCATATACCACACAAAATGTGTAAGAATGCTCAAGTGAGGACCAAGAGTCTCTGATAACCATCGTATCAAAATTTTGGACACGCTTTAGAAATTTTAACACAGCTGACAACATGGAGCACGCTTTAGGAAATGATGGGAACACAGTTAACACAGAATGGTATAAACATCAGTTGTTAAATAAACTTCACCCATTCATTGGTGGTGGTCAATTTAGAGTTAATGAAAAACTGTTAAGGTTAGACAGGATTAGTTGGCAAATGTAGACTTTTATTAGAGTTACAAACAGTCTAACTGGAGCAATCAGCTCTTAATAATAACTTTAGATTAAAAAACAAAATATAAGCCTTTATCCTAAATGGGTTAAATGACAAATTATGCAGCCAATAACTAAATAAGTTAAATGACAATTTATGCAGCTAGAGCTGTTTAATGTAGCTAATAAGTGAATAAGTTTAATGGCAAATTTTTTGGATCATAACTAAATAGGTACAATGAAAAATTTTACCGCCTATACCTTAATAAATAAAAATGATGTAGCATATTACTGAAAATGTATAAAGGCTTTAAATGAATATGTTTAATGACATATTGTATATTACAATTGTTTAGATTTTATGCGCCTTTGCACCAAGCACATGATTATTTTGACATACAAATGTATTCCATCAACTCATTATCCACTAATGCAAGGTTTAGGGGAAAGACACCACATGGCAGACCAAGGTTTTGGATACCAAAATTTACTGCTGGTGATTCATTTTAAAAGTTTTGCTTTTCTTTGCTACTCAAAGGTTTTGTCAAAGGATAAAGTAGTCCATTAGGTTATAAAAGTTACAAAGGAGATATAACAGTTAAGCAAACCTGAACTTAGCATATCATTTACCTAGTTTAGGACTACCTAAATCCTGCGCTCATTTTTCCACCAGTCTTAAAATACAATACCAATAACATTTTTACCCTGGAATTAGATTCTAACAACTACTTCAAATTTATTTGGCTTTGGTTAGCTGAAAATCTTATACTTGCTGTTTTGGGGGCTTCCTCTATGTTTAGTTTCACTGATAGAAATCTTCTTAGACAATAAGCAACAATATAAAAACAAGGATCATCCTCAAAACCAAATAATTTTAAGATGTCTTTTAAAACATAGAAGCTAACCAAATTCATGCAATTTTTCCTCATATATTCTGGAGATTTTAGCTAAATTTTAAAGTCAAATTGGTGAATGTAAGTAAAAATTGATCAAGCTTAAAGAGTTAACAAAAACAACAAAGTGATCAAATAAAACCATGCATGCTTGTGGTACACATAGCCAACAAGGGAAAAAACCCTGCAACAGTGATCCTGTAACTCAGAACAAATTCTAACGCAACTGTTCCTGGCAACTCAGAACAAATTCAAAACAATTGTTCCTGGCAACTCAGAGGCTTACATTGAGAGGTACTCACCCTGAGCTGGCAAATGGATCTTGTGAGAAGAAGGACGAGGCAAAGCTGTTCCCCTGAGGGAACCCTGGAAAAGATGATTCGAATGTGTTGCCATTTCTCCGAGCAACTGCAGATAAATGGTTAGTGTTCAAATAAATTCCCCCAAATCAAGCAACTTCAAGTGCAAACTAAATAAAACCTCTCCTCAAGGAGAAAACTACAACAAAAAATGAATTATCTCTAACAAAAGTCCAGCAGTTTTAACAAAACATCTATATTTACAACCTGCAATAAAAAGCTGCAAATAAACAAGAAAACAGAACCATCTGCCCCCCTGTAATGAACAGAAGACTTTTGTATACAGAGAAGAGAGATAATAGGATTTATGTGTCAGGTGACATGGTTGACTGTGAACATGATTTTTTTTATAATAAACCTTCAGCTTGAGCTTGCTTAAAAATGTTAAGTATCTAATCATTGAGCAAAGTGTCTGTGTATGATACCAATAAAACTATCTCCTGTTTGAACGTACCACCAAAAAAGCTGGCAAATGGATCATCTGTGCCAAAAAAGTCTCTGAAAATTTCTTCAGGACTCCTGAAGTGGAAGTGGAAGTTTCCAAAGCCAGAAGTGTCAAAGTTAAAATCTTCATCCCCTCTGTGGTGATGTCCTCCTAGCACGCCATCTCTCCCATACAGGTCATACACCTCGCGCTTTTTTTCTGAAACAAAGCAAAGTTTTGTCACACAACAGCAAAGAAAATATCTTTTGCTAAATGTTTTACAGAGGGAACAGGTAATTACTGTCTGCTTCTGGTTTATTTCTTACAGAAGAAACTTGTACTTACTGTCTGAGAGTATATCATATGCTTCTGGTTTATTTCTTACAGAAGACACTTGTACTTACTGTCTGAGAGTATATCATATACTTCTGGTTTATTTCTTACAGAAGACACTTGTACTTACTGTCTGAGAGTATATCATATGCTTCTGGTTTATTTCTTACAGAAGAAACTTGTACTTACTGTCTGAGAGTATATCATATGCTTCTGGTTTATTTCTTACAGAAGACACTTGTACTTACTGTCTGAGAGTATATCATATACTTCTGGTTTATTTCTTACAGAAGACACTTGTACTTACTGTCTGAGAGTATATCATATGCTTCTGGTTTATTTCTTACAGAAGACACTTGTACTTACTGTCTGAGAGTATATCATATGCTTCTGGTTTATTTCTTACAGAAGACACTTGTACTTACTGTCTGAGAGTATATCATATGCTTCTGAAATTTCTTGAAATTTTTTCTTGGCCTCATCTTTGTTCTCTGGGTTTTTGTCAGGGTGCCATTTCAGCGCTAATCTTCTATACCTGTAGTAGGGAGATAATCACATCCTCTTTATTCAGCTATAGTTAATTCAGAGTTAATTTGTCATAAATCTGACATAAATCAATCAGTTGTACATCAAAAACAATTTTAATCAGCTGACATTATTTAGACTACTAAGAAAGACTGCTTACGCTTTTTTAATATCTTGTTCTGTAGCACTTTTCTCAATGCCCAACACCTCATAGTAACAGCTCTTATCACTTTTTCTTGTGGCTGGCATTGCGCCACTGATTGACACTCACACGCCTCTTTATCAAGTACAATTTAATTCTGAGAGGGAAAATACTTAACTTTATTGACATGAAAATATATATATGAAAATATAACACAAGCAATTCACAAGCTTTTCACAGCACAGATAACATTAACAATGCAGTGTGTTTTTTAAATAAGAAAAGTATACCAGATGTCCAGAGTTTAGACATTATTCAATTAGTTTTTAACAGGTAAAAGAAATAAGCAATAAAAATGAGCACATCAAATTATGAAAAGCCTCAACTACACAGTTCATAACTTCTATTCAACAAATAATTTACTAGCTTTAACAAGTGTAAATTAATTGAAAAAAAAAGGGGCAGGACCCTTTTCATGTTTATTTCATTTTTTATAATATTGTCACTGATCTTGTCTAGGTTAGGTCTAATCAAACATGGTTAGATCTAACCGAACATGTAGGTTAGGTCTAACCAAACATCATGGTTAGGTCTATAAAATGTTAAAGCTCATGAAAGCATTGAAGACAGTAGTGGGTACCTTTTACTTGCACATTGTATTTACCTGTTACATTTGTTATTTCAGTTTCTAAGAAAGGTCTATAAACTTATTTCTTTTGGATGTGCCCTGTCTGTTTACAATAAAAACCAAACTAAAATGTTTGCCATTTCACCTAAGTAGATAGAGTAGCAGTATTGCCACTGGCATGGGTGGGATCAGAAGGTCACTGGGTGATCAACTAACAAAACCTTTGGAAAAATGGGAGTAAAATACACAACTCAAATGGTAGAATAGCTTTTTATAATCTTTTTGCATTATTTTTAACTAGAGCAATGACTGAGCTCAGATTCTTCAATTTGTTGTAAAGCACTGGATGTTACTACTTAAAACCAAAAAAGCTACCTACAAAAAAATGCAATGTTTTTTTTCTTTACTTTGGGTAGTATCCTGTAGTAAAAAAAAATTCATAAAAAACGTTTTAATAACAAGCTTTTATGTAACGATGCACTAAAAAGTAGAAAATAAATTATAGACTACTATTTAAATAACTATAAAGAAAAGCGTGGGTCACTTTAGTATCTATTGGATACCTTTACTAATGTTAAGGAAGACACCCACGCTTTTCTTTATAGTTATTTAAATAGTAGTCTATAATTTATTTTCTACTTTTTAGTGCATCGTTACATAAAAGCTTGTTATTAAAACGTTTTTTATGAATTTTTTTTTCAGTACTTTACATGTTTTATTTACAATAGAGTTACATGACTAAAAACCATTGCGCGCCTACTGAACATCACGTTCAGTAGGCGCGCAATGGTTTTTGAACGCAGCCATTACGTGATGGCGCAGCTATTGAAGGTGATGACGCGTGTGGTGTGGTTGGCTAGACATGCCTACTAATTCGGTCCAAATTTTAATTAATTCATAAAAAATTAATTAGGCATCCAATTAAGTCAAATTTAGTTTCAGATTGCATTGTCTTCATGTCTTGACCCACGTGCCAAATGTGAATCGTATCGGTCAAGTAGAAGTTTCCGAATTTTCACTCCTGCGTTTCCGTCTAGACTGACGACTGACGACAGAGGAAGCAAGTTAAATAAAAGCTTGTAAAAAATTCATAAAAAACGTTTTAATAACAAGCTTTTATGTAATGATGCACTAAAAAGTAGAAAATAAATTATAGACTACTATTTAAATAACTATAAAGAAAAGCGTGGGTCACTTTAGTATCTATTGGATACCTTTACTAATGTTAAGGAAGACACCCACGCTTTTCTTTATAGTTATTTAAATAGTAGTCTATAATTTATTTTCTACTTTTTAGTGCATCATTACATAAAAGCTTGTTATTAAAACGTTTTTTATGAATTTTTTTTCAGTACTTTACATGTTTTATCTACAATAGAGTTACATGACTAAAAACCATTGCGCGCCTACTGAATATCACGTTCAGTAGGCGCGCAATGGTTTTTGAACGCAGCCATTACGTGGTCGTGATGGCGCAGCTATTGATGACGCGTGTGGTGTGGTTGGCTAGACATGCCTACTAATTCGGTCCAAATTTTAATTAATTCATAAAAAATCAATTAGGCATCCAATTAAGTCAAATTTAGTTTCAGATTGCATTGTCTTCATGTCTTGACCCACGTGCCAACTGTGAATCGTGTCGGTCAAGTAGAACTGTCCGAATTTTCACTCCTGCGTTTCCGTCTAGACTGACGACAGACAGAGGAAGTGAGTTAAATAAAAGCTTGTAAAAACAAGGATTCTTGTCAAACTTTGTCTATACTAAATATTATCCCTTTCCCTAATGTAACAACAGAGTTGGATAGACTCAGGGATATCCTAAGGAACTGGAATCAAGTTGAGGAACAAAACTCAAGACTTTGGGTTAGTTGTCATGTGCTCTATCCCAACCCTAACCTCTTGGATTTGAGCTGCTTGTTTATGAGGGTCTTTACTGTGATTTATTTTTACTAGTTCATTCCAGCATAATAGTTAAAATAAAAATGTTATTAATTTACAGTGGTTTTATATAAAATGTGTGACCAAAGTGATTGTTCAGTAACATTTAAATCAAGTCATTCAATGTTTTACTCTTTAGTTTTTCTTTGTTATTAAAAAGTTTAAAATAGAATTGAGATAAAACAATTTTATAAGATAAAAACACAGCAACTATTTCCATACTAAATTCATCCTGGCAGATGATACAATCCATTCACTGATTGATGGCCAGGTCAACAAGTAAAATGCCACACTTTGGCTCATGGGAGAAAACCTAGGTAAACTTGTTCATCTTTTTTGCATACTGGATTAATTTCCCTGTTTCTAAAAATAGCTTGTTCCAGGGGTTACGAAATTAATAGCATATACTCTTTCTACATGAGAGAAATGAATAGAAGTAAATTTTAAAAAGAAAATGATATACACGCCAACAGCTCATTACAATAATTTTTATTAAACAATAACTCAGGTAGGAAAACAAAAAATGAGTTTTGAAACCTGCCACCTATTGACAAAAACAAGTACATTTTTAGATCAAACTGGTGAAAAGCGGATCAAACTAAACACTTAACAATCAATCATTGTCATTATTGAGTGAACTTCATGCAACCCCAGGATACAGAACACCACACAGCTGAGCGTATGTTTGACAGTACTTAAGCTGCTTTTATTTGATTGAACAAAGCCTTCTATAAATAGATGGACAACTTAGGTAAACATTGGACGATTAGAAAGGCTAGCTAGGATCAGTGAAGTAGAAGGGTGGCTTACAAAGTTTCGTGTCACATTAAGATATGGTTTTTAAAATACGCTGGATAGGGATTTAGAACATGAGGATAGCTGAACAACTAAATCTAGGTCTCAGACACGATACGAAAGTTTGAAGCACAAACGCCAAACTTTTTTAAACAAGACTAGACCCTAACACTAGCCGAGTTTTAAACCAGAGAAAAACCAACTGATCTGCTACATACCAGCAACAAATGGATCCACTGTGTGAAAAAAACTGAAACCTGCGACCACTAGTCGGACAGAGCCCCTATGGGCTTTAATAAACAGGAGGTGAATTTAAACTGCGAGATTCAGTCACAAGGTAAACTAGTCTAACCTTGTAATCTAGAATAGGAGCATTCCAGAAAAGTAAAGAAAATCAATAATTGGCAGTAAACTCGGGTCGTATATACAGACAGGTGAGATATCGAAGATGAAATGAAGCGGAACTACGGTGAACTGTGAGATAAATAAAAGACGTACTGTGTTAGTGTTGGCCAAGTGCGAGTAATAGCAGTAAAAGTGTAATAAACACGCGTTATGACTTGTACATTCATTAGCTTACACTTGTAATGACTTACAGTGACAGTAAAGCAATGCCAGTGTATTGCCGAGGTCGCCAGCTGATTTAGGGCAGCTCACAAGACAGATTGTTGGTACACGTGATAGCGAGAGTCGTGGTGGGCCACAGATAAGGCAGCACAGCTCAGCTATTGGGACACGACGTGCGACATTGTCTAGCCCGGCTCACAAATACACGGCACACTCCATTCATTAGGCCTAGCCCTACCAAACCTGCCACAACCGATGTGTTACTGATTGGCGGGCATTGGTTGTCTGATAGCATCACGTGATCGTTTGTTTGGGTTGTCACTCGGTGAAATGTTTTCACACGCAACAGGCAACTGGCTGTGGTGAACACACTGGACTAGACGACAGTCAACGTAGCCTTAATACAAACTGGACTTAACGACCGTCCACCGTAGCCTTAATACAAACTGGACTAGACGACAGTCAACCGTAGCCTTAATACAAACTGGACTTAACGACCGTCCACCGTAGCCTTAATACAAACTGGACTTAACGACCGTCCACCGTAGCCTTAACACAAACTGGACTTAACGACAGTCAACCGTAGCCTTAATACAAACTGGACTAGACGACCGTCCACCGTAGCCTTAATACAAACTGGACTTAACGACCGTCCACCGTAGCCTTAATACAAACTGGACTTAACGACCGTCCACCGTAGCCTTAATACAAACTGGACTAGACGACCGTCCACCGTAGCCTTAATACAAACTGGACTTAACGACCGTTCAACGTAGCCTTAATACAAACTGGACTTAACGACCGTCAACCGTAGCCTTAATACAAACTGGACTAGACGACCGTCAACCGTAGCCTTAATACAAACTGGACTTAACGACCGTTCAACGTAGCCTTAATACAAACTGGACTTAACGACCGTCCACCGTAGCCTTAATACAAACTGGACTAGACGACCGTCAACCGTAGCCTTAATACAAACTGGACTAGACGACCGTCCACCGTAGCCTTAATACAAACTGGACTTAACGACCGTCCACCGTAGCCTTAATACAAACTGGACTTAACGACCGTTCAACGTAGCCTTAACACAAACTGGACTTAACGACCGTCAACCGTAGCCTTAACAAAGGCAAGTAATGACCGTCACCTCGTTCACAAGCATGTAACGACCGTCCACCGTAGCCTTAACACAAGCACCAAACGACCGTCCACCGTAGCCTTAACACAAGCACCAAACGACCGTCCACCGTAGCCTTAACACAAGCACCAAACGACCGTCCACCGTAGCCTTAACACAAGCACCAAACGACTGTCCACCGTAGCCTTAACACAAGCTTATGCTGCTGACGACACTCAGGTAAAAAGCACAAGCAAAGCCAGCTATGAATAACCTACCTGCCGTGAGCACATTAAACGGCTGTAACGCAACACAGGAAACATAAACAATAAATCCATTTAACCCGTACACTGACACTTGAATCTAAAACTCTGGCTTGAACCAAATTATCAGCTACCAACATTAAGAGCATGCATGTAATGCTGATCGATAATAAAGTTTCATCTCATAAGAACAAGTTGGCTGCAAGCTCATGTGTAGGATACAACAGCAACAAGTTACACAATATCAGCAGCATAGAAAACAGGGCGGGGGCGTGTCGTGAGAAATGTTCCAGCCAGTTCCAGAAAAAACAAAGCACGACGCAATACTAACTACGTACTCATCGATACAAGCAAAGGTGGAACAGTTTACATCACCACAGGTTACACATCGTATCCCAACATCACCACAGGTTACACATCGTATCCTAACATCACCACAGGTTACACATCGTCACATCGTACCCCAACATCACCACAGGTTACACATTGTACCCCAACATCACCACAGGTTACACATCGTATCCCAACATCACCACAGGTTACACATCGTCACATCGTACCCCAACATCACCACAGGTTACACATCGTATTCCAACATCACCACAGGTTACACATTTTACCCCAACATCACCACAGGTTACACATCGTACCCCAACATCACCAAAGGTTACACATTGTACCCCAACATCACCACAGGTTACACATCGTATCCCAACATCACCACAGGTTACACATCGTCACATCGTACCCCAACATCACCACAGGTTACACATCGTATTCCAACATCACCACAGGTTACACATTTTACCCCAACATCACCACAGGTTACACATTTTACCCCAACATCACCACAGGTTACACATCGTACCCCAACATCACCACAGGTTACACATCGTATCCCAACATCATCACATGTTACACATCGTATTCCAACATCACCACAGGTTACACATCGTCACATCGTACCCCAACATCACCACAGGTTACACATCGTATCCCAACATCACCACAGGTTACACATCGTCACATCGTACCCCAACATCACCACAGGTTACACATCGTACCCCAACATCACCACAGGTTACACATCGTACCCCAACATCACCACAGGTTACACATTGTACCCCAACATCACCACAGGTTACACATCGTATTCCAACATCACCACAGGTTACACATTGTACCCCAACATCACCACAGGTTACACATCGTATTCCAACATCACCACAGGTTACACATCGTACCCCAACATCACCACAGGTTACACATCGTCACATCGTACCCCAACATCACCACAGGTTACACATCGTATTCCAACATCACCACAGGTTACACATTTTACCCCAACATCACCACAGGTTACACATCGTACCCCAACATCACCACAGGTTACACATCGTATCCCAACATCATCACATGTTACACATCGTATTCCAACATCACCACAGGTTACACATCGTATTCCAACATCACCACAGGTTAGACATCGTACCCCAACATCACCACAGGTTACACATCGTACCCCAACATCACCACAGGTTACACATCGTACCCCAACATCATTACAAGTTACACAAATGGTATCCCAACATCACCACAGGTTACACATCGTATTCCAACATCATCACATGTTACACATCGTATTTCAACATCACTACAAGTTACAAAAATGGTGCCCCAACATCACAACAGATTTTAAAGTGCCCCACCATCACAGCACAGTGCCTCACCATCACATATTGTACACAATCCCCCCCCCCCCCACACACACACAATCACAGGTTTTATACAGTGTCCCCACTAGCACAGGTTTTACACAGTATCCCACGACCACAGGTTTTACAGTCGTCCCCCCCCCCATCACAGGTTTAACAGTGCCCCACCATCACCATCAACAAAGCACGAGAACCGCCATCTCGCTGGGACCAGTTGGTCTCTGCTCACACCTCAACAACAGCCACCTCTACCTGGCTAACGGGTATACAACAGAGATCAAACTAATTTTAGACACCGCCCACGCTGCTGAAAACTGAAAACATTGCGCTTAATTCGTTGAACAGGTTATGTAATTATCGTAGGTAAGTGGTAAAGAAAGATGAGGAGGTGAGCAAACGACTGATTTAAAAATAACACGCAAACAACCTCAGTGCTTAGATACCTGGCTCACTTACAATAGTGTTGGGAGATGGGGAGGTACACCTAGTTACACACACGTGATTCGGTCAAGATCCAATTCAACGGTGGGTAGGGCACCGATTGAACGAGGGTAAGGCACCACCAATTCAACGGTGGGTAGGGCACCAATTCAACGGTGGGTAGGGCACCGATTGAACGAGGGTAAGGCACCAATTCATCGGTGGGTAGGGCACCGATTGAACGAGGGTAAGGCACCACCAATTCAACGGTGGGTAGGGCACCGATTGAACGAGGGTAAGGCACCACCAATTCAACGGTGGGTAGGGCACCAATTCAACGGTGGGTAGGGCACCGATTGAACGGTGGGTAGGGCACCAATTGAACGGTGGGTAGGGCACCGATTGAACGGTGGGTAGGGCACCGATTGAACGGTGGGTAGGGCACCAATTCAACGGTGGGTAGGGCAACACCAATTCAACGGTGGGTAGGGCACCGATTGAACGAGGGTAAGGCACCACCACTTCAACGGTGGGTAGGGCACCGATTACATGTGGGTAGCGTGCCAATACGACGGCTCATTTTACGTGTATCCTCACTCAATGTTGGTCGCTATTTTAAGGAGGGGGGTATCACCTTTTTGGATACAAAAGCAACCAACGCTTTTACAAACAAATCTACAGAAAGAAAAGGTTTCTATTATTGTTCTCATTTTCAGTGCATTTAAAAGAAGCTTATTATTAAAGAGTTTTTTTAGACCTTTTATTTTCTGTATGTTGGTAACAAAGAATTGTAAGAATAAATTGATATTACTTTTTTAAAAGTACTGTAAAGTATTCTTTCCATTCCGGTTACTTTTAAGTAAGTCGATACCCAACAAAACTAAAAAAAAAATTCCTAAAAAGAACAGCTTTATTACTTGACTTATTTATCGAGTGATCGCTAATAATTACATCCGTGGTGCCTTCCCATGTTATTAAATATATATCTTAATAGTCCTTACATTAATTTTTAATGTCTAATAACTGAATCGAAAATTAGATACTGTCGTCGGAAAAAAGTATTTATCTGTAAAATTTGAAAGTAATCGCTCTACAAGAATTCGGTCAAGATACTACCTGACGACAAACCGATCCACCCACACACAGATATTGCGGCATAAGGGGGAAAAAATATTTTTAAAAACTTTTCAATGCCGCCACTTTACACCGACCTTCCTCGGGCTGTCAGTTTTTTTTTTCTTTTTAAAATGTAAGTTTTCTTTCAAACATACACCTCTGCCCCCCCCCCCCCCCCACACACACACACAAACGGACGCATGATCCCATCAAAGATGAAACAGTTAACACGATCTAAATGTCAAAATTGTCCACGGTGAATATACGAGAATCCAAGTAGCCGTTCAGATACATGGAACAAGTGCTATTTAAACAATGTTTTCAAATTAATGTAGCATTATAAACTAGCCGCTGAAGTATTAGAAAAGCAACATCCAATAAAGACAATGAGTCAGTCGTGACCAGATTAGATTGACCGGCAGAGTACTGATGGAATTGAGTTTAATAAATAGAGTGTAACACAAATAAAAATCGTCTTATCTTTTTTTTTAATTGTCACTCATGAAATATTTGAACCAATGTACAAATCCTGCAAACGGTGAAGTGTGAATACCTAGAGCCACCCCCACCCACCTGGATCTACCAGCTGACACAAAGCTGTGGCTGCTGACATGGACTGTCAATCAAACATGAGACACATCAAGTACGTGCTATGAAATCACCCCTGTATTAGCACGGGTTGTTGTTTACGTGTTCCTGCATATGGCGAGTATCCAACAAAAAACTGATAGAAAAACAACTCACTAGTTTCTGACGTATTCACTTATGATAGGTACATCCTGGTGATATTCAGCACACTCGGGCACATCAAATGGCATGTCACGCTAATCAATGCTAATCATAATTAGGTCCGGTGTGCCAAGGATGACCTTAAGTGTGCGCTAAATGGGCTCGTACGGACATGAAAGTTGCACCACTGGCGCTCCTGACGTGTAGCGAAATACAGAGCGGGGAGACTACTCATTCACGGAGAGGCAACTCAGGAGAGTCTAGGTATGAAGGAAGAAACCTGCTGATCCAAATTTAGTTCTTCGCCCCCCTATCCCAGCTCGCTGACTCACGGCTATCGGTATGGCGAACTCATCTATTTTTAGATTCCATTAGTGCACGCGCAAAAATGCACTTTAATGTGCATATAATAAACAGCGCATAAGAGAGGTACTAGTTAGTTATGATGTATTATAGGTCTTTTGTCTGAAGAGTTGTGGAAGAACTACACGACAAAACAAATTCAGGTTACCCAATTTTAAATTGCGCATAAATCGGTACTGCTGCAGAGTGAGTCATTATTAAACGACCTCTACCTGTATACGCCACAACGTGTATGTGGTGATCCCACAAGTTATCCGTGGCAGACAGAAACAAAGCTCTGGCCATCAGCTGGTGACAGCCATCACACAGGTGCACGCCTTCGGTCTGGTGCCCCCAACACAACATGTAGCACGTAAAGGTTGCCATGGGGCAGCTACACACCAAACGAGCAGGGTGGGTGGGGACCACAGAACATCTATTACTGCAGGTGGAGTAGACAACACAGCACAAGAAACTGAGGTCTAATTCTGCGCCATGCTGAGAAAGTTGTTTTAACTCAGTGTCAAATGATTGTCTGCTTTATCTCAAGACATCCCACTGGTGGCAGGCTCTGCTAGAGAACCACAGGTGAAACTGTAGCATATTTACAACAACTCAGGTTTTGGTACTTTCAACACTACAGTTTACAATACTTAAAATGACAATATTTTTCAACACTGCAGTTTACAACACCTGAAATCACAAATTTTTTTTTCAACACTGCAGTTTACAACACAGAAAATTACAATATTTTTCAACACTGCAGTTTACAATAATACATCTGAAAATACAATATTTTTTTTTAACACTGCAGTTTACAACAGTTAAAATTAATCTTTTTTCAACACAGCAGTTTACAACACCTGTAATAACTTTTCAAGACGGCAGTTTACAACACCTGACATTTCAGTCCTATTCAACACTGCAGTTCTAATATTTATACAGTAATAAACCTGATCTACCATTAAAAAAATAGAAAGCACTATATATATAGATAAACATTCAAGTAGGCCCTATGTTAAAGTATGAACACTTGACAATGAAAATAACTTCTACAGCAATCATGCATGGGGAAATGTTATCATACAAATAATAATATAAAAGGTAACATAAACTGCTTTAATATAAGCTGGTTTGAAAAATAGTCATAGTTCCTTACACATAGTTACAAATGCACACCAAGCAAATATAGACTACTTGGTTATTGGGTTCTAGAGTTCTGTTTGACTAATGCTTTCTTCTTAGTGGTCAGCAGGGTTAAGTGATCTGATAGGTGAAACATAGGACACTAAAATCTCAGTTCTCCCTATTCTTGTTGAGCCTTTAATTATTAACACCATCTCTGTCCATCTGTGGCTTCAAGCAGTGTGCTCTTGTATAATACAAAGAGGTGGGATTGTAGTTTAAGATTTTGTGCATTTAAAATTAACACATTTTATTTATACAAGCTGACCCGCGGCATTTTAATTTTCTACTTTTCAGTACTTCATAGTTAGTGAATTCAACACTACCCTCCCATCCATTCCCCCCCCCTCCGTGAAAGCAACCGTTTGTGACGACAGTTTACGGATGACAATGAAAAGATCAAGCAGAACTTCTTCACTCTCCTTAGTTTCAAATCGTTTAAAAGCTGAATTATCTGCCCCTGCCCCTAATAGACGTTACTGATTCACCCGATTGTAAACATTCAGGGGGAACCTTAGTTCACCAGAATGGTGGTGGTGGTAGCTATATGCCTAGAGAGCCGGTGGATAACTACGTGAGTTTACATGGTGTCTCGCATAGTCCCCATGAAGAGAATTATATATATAGATGGGATGTGGGTGGTGGTATAAAGTAATGGTATTTAACACTGTCCATGATTTTCTGTAATCATATATTAACTACATTTTAAATGACTGGATGAATATTTTAAGAACTTGATTTACAGTTATTTTGATTTTTCTAAAAATGTCTCATTATTTTCTAATTCTAAAATGTTTGTTCTAAAAATTCAGTCTTGTAGCACCCAAGTATGAATATCAGGGTGAATTTATGTATAAAAATGGTTTAAGAGTATTTGCAGGTAAAATAAAATCTCAACTTTTTGTTTTATGAAATATGTGCATGGTATCTTAACTTTCAAACTAAACAATTTTGCATCAGTACAATACAACCTCTGTAAACAGGTTTTGGGCCAAAGGCCTATGTTGTAGTAAAAATCAAGAAATGTCATTTGAAATACCATTAATCATTAGTATATATATATATAATTCTCTTCATGGAGGGACCATGCCGAACCTCCATTTCCCTCGCTCTCCAAGCATGCTTAACCCTATATTTCTACCACCTTCACCCCACCAGTCTGGTGAGCTGTTTACAACTATAGCGCCAAGTGAATTAGTGATAGCCATTAGGGGCAGACAATTTAGTTTTTAAATTATTTGAAACTAAGGAGGGAAATAAGTTCTGCTTGATTTTTCATTGTTGTGTGTAAACTGTCGTCACAGACGGCTGCTTTCACGGGGGGGGGGAGAAGTGGATAGTGAGGGTGAGGATAATCATCCTTCATGAGCTACTGATAGTGCTTTAAAGCAAAATATTTTCAGTCTATTTACTTATATTTGAATTAATTAGAATACAATAGTAAGTTCCAATCTACTAAGTTTTCATTGTGAAATTTGAAGAAGACAATGGTTAATTTGATTTGCTGTCCTCAGCTCATAACAAAATAGTACATCGACTACCTTTACTTCCCAAATTTATCAAGTCCATTACATAACAAAGCAGAGGATCAAAAAAAGAAGCCAACACAGTACAAAACCTGTATTGACACAATCGTCAACATTACACAATATGGACGAACAAGGCAAACTGAGGAAAGGCCTGTGATGAAAACCACACAAAAGATAATGGGCATAATTTCTTTTATGACTAATTTTTCTATTAGGTTTTCAAAAAACAAAATTTGAGGCTGCTGTGTAAATTATGTTATAGTATTCTTAATTAACCATTAATGTCCCGTAACGCCCGCTGCCGCCCGACACCGTTAATGTCCCGTAACGCCCGCTGCCGCCCGCTTACAATACGCATAGAAAAATTAAATTTGTTTCATTAAAATTTGGCCTACAAATCCTAATTTTTAACTAAACAGGAAGTCGGATTGTTTCAGCATCCTTTTCCGGTCTTCTAATTTCAATGGCGCTTTTGAAAGATAAAAAATAATAGTTTCTTTCTATCTCGAAATTTTAGACTCATCTGTCCTATTTTTAGTAGATTTAATATTAAAAATAAAATAAAGTAATGCCTCTAAACGTATCTAGGCATGTATTTTATGAATTATATATCTTAAACATAACCAAATTGATATTTAACTGTTAAATTCGATGCATAGTTGTTTAGACAAAAATAAATAAAGTTGACTACCGAAAATGACCTGTTTTGAATTTTCTCCGACATTTTTTATTTTTATTCTGTACTTGTACCGAATATAATATATTCTATTTAATACTGTTGGAAAGCCAGGTTTATTCCCAACATTAAGCAGTAGTTTTTATCTTAATTTTTAATTTCATTTAGACAAAAACAAATATTTTGTGAAACTATTCACTTGATCATACAGAGTTATGCTCCTTACATCGGGCCGTCATGGGTGGAGTTTTGGTAGAATGAATGGGACATTAATGGTTAAGGAGATAAGAATTATTTTTATAGTTAATAAATATCTTACTAAAAATACACTACCCACATTTATATTATTTATAAACAAGCAAAATTTAATAATTCTCAACAAGTGGCTTGACAGACCTTAATTGAAATATTTCTTACATTTCAGTGACCTTTTTCTGACAAAAATTTTTGCCTCTGTGACTTTTTCTCCACTCACTATTAGATTTCCAGTCAACAGTGAATAGGCATATTTGTTGGAATATTCCCAGCTGACTGTCAATATAGATTATTTATAGTCACTTTTATAATTAGGCTAGGTCACCAACCAAGGCTATCCCCTGTCTGTATTGGGGCTATTCTCAGCCGACTGGGAATACAATGAATGCCAAAGGTATGAAGATTTTGAGTATGATTTGAGGGGTTCCAACCAGCAACATCCAGTACAAGAGCCACACACATGTCTACTTGACCACAAAGCTCCAAGCTTTGATGTGTGTTTTTAACATTAAATTTTAAATCAAACACAGTCACAACTGAAAAGTCAAGTAGATCTATGCTATGGGATTGTCCATAAATGACGTCACACTCGAAGGGTAAGGGGGGGTCCGTAATTTTGTGACGGTGTGTGATGAGGGGGAGGGGGGTTCAGATGGTGTGACGTCACACTTTTGCATTATAAAAAAGCAATGTTAGAAAACGAATTTTAGACGTTATTTCGCGTTTTAAAAAACCTTTTTTAATAAATTGTAATAGGAATTGATTAAAATACTCTTTTTTTGACAGAGTTCAGACAAGATTTTGGAGAAATATCGATGTTTAAAAAGCATTCAACTGCAATTTTGAGGGGGGTTGTAGGCTGAGGTGTGACGTCATTTTAAAGGGGAGGGGTCTGGCTTTTTGTGATGATGTGTGACGGAGGGGAGGGGGGGGGGGGGGGTAAAAATCGTCAAACAAAGTGTGACGTCATCTATGGATGACCCTTATGTGACTATAATAAATTCTAACTAGTCTAGACTCTAGCAGCTAGAAATATAGATCTAGATCTGTAGAGCCTATTAAACTATGTATTCAAATTTGGATTTGTGGGCCTAGTAAATTTAAAATTTGGTAATCTATCGTTTTGGGTACGTAAAATCGCCCACGGCTATTAATGTACGAAAATGTTACCTCATTGTCAAGGCTTTAATAGAAGTATGTTGTCATATGTTTGTGTCAAATATTATAGATAAATGAATAATAAACCTAAATTAATGGCTAAATATATCGATGTAGGCCAGGATTTAAATTTAAACAGCAGTGTCTGAGAGCAAGATTTGCTATATATACACAGCAGCCATTTGTAAAATAGAGTGGCTTCCCCCTGAATCTCGCGCTGTAAGCTTATAAAAATAAAACTTAAGATGGCTGCTATAGTAAATGAGCATGGTTGCATCTGTTGGAAACATCGCTAGTTTTCATTTATTATGGAAAAGTTTTAATTCGATTGTTTAAAAACAGGTACATAAATGAAACAAGGAAAGAAAAAGATTTTTGTATTTTAAAAAACATAAATCCTCCTCAAAATGTGAAATAGGCCTAATTATTAAAATTTAAGGAGTCACCTGTTTTTCACATTACAAGTCGCGGGCGATTTTACGTAGGCCGTAGGCCTACCTAAAACGATAGATTACCTAAAATTTAAAATAACAAGTAGATTCTAGTCAAGTAGGCTAGATTCTAGGCTAAAAAATAGCCTACATCTAACTAAAATATCTGTCACTATTTTGATTAATTTTTTTCAAAGTCCCAACTCTGTGAGCCGCAGTCCAACACCCCAGACCCCTCCACCCACCCGTCGTCTTCGACATTTTTTCATTCTTTTCAACCTCAGACCAAACGATTTTTATTCAATATTTTATTTTTCATGCTCACAATAAAGCTTTAAAATACGTAGACATACACGGTGTTTATAATGTCTAATCTTAGTCTGTCAAAAGATATTTAAAATAACAAAGGTAAACTTACATTTCTAGAATTTTTTTAGTCCCTGTTTGTAAACACTCACTCAAACAATCTTACTCTAGACTATTTTTGGAACCTGCACAGCGCCGGAAATGTCGTCGATCCAAAGCAACGTCATAAAATTCTTAGAATATTAAAAACATGAATATAATAAATTTGGATCAAGAGCTAGGCCGAGAGCTAGATCTAGATCTAGATCTAGATTCTAGATGCAGTCTAGATAAACATTTAGATATAATAAGTAATTTGTTTTTAATGGACCAATAACCTAAATAATCTAATTTAGGCCTAAATATATTTTGTTTTTAAAGTTGATTTTTAAAATAGAGGGGAAAAAAACAAGAGACGCCCTAATATTTTATGTTCCTCGATAACCCAACAAAAGCCTTATAAAAAGTAAGAAAAAAATAGAAAATGAGATGGAAAACCCAACATATAAAAATAAAATAGATCTAGATTCTAATTCTAGATCTAAGATCTAGATCTAATAGACTTTGATTTTAACGTCGTTTGTTCAGATTTTCTTAAATAAAGTATAAGGGGTCATCCATAAATGACGTCGCGCTTTTTTTTCACGATTTTTACCTCCCCCCTCCCCTCCGTCACACATCGTCACAAAAAGCCAGAACCCCCCCTAAATGGCGGGACACCTCAGCCTAAAACCCCCTCAAAATTGCAGTTGAATTTTTCTTAAAACATCGATGTTTTTCCAAAATCTTGTCTGAACTCTGCCTAAAATAGAGTTTTTTTAATCAATTCCTATTGCAATTTATTAAAACAGTTTTCTAAAACGCGAAATAACGTCTTAAATTCGTTTTCTAACATTGCTTTTGTATAATGCAAAAGTGTGACGTCGCACCATCTGACCCCCCCCCCCCACCCCACCCCACCCACCCCCTCAGAGCCGGTGTTAAGGACCAACCTTTCACGCGGGGCCTGATATATATATATATATATATATATATATATATATATATATATATATATATATATATATATATATATATATATATATATATATATACATGTAAAATACAAATATCTTTGTATAAGACTTTTAGAACACCGCGCACACAAAATACAAGTTGCACAAAAGCCTATTCCCCTTACAAGGAATGTTGATGACAGTGCTACCCTCCCCCCTACAAGTGTGACGTCATTTATGGACGACCCCTATCATTATTTGTGGGCGACCCTTATAGTAAATTGGTAACTTAGGGGTCATCCATAAATGACGTCACGCTTTTTTTTACTATTTGTACCTCCCCCCCTCAGTTATCTAAAACGCGAAATAACGTTTAAAATTCGTTTTCTAACATTGCTTTTTTATAATGCAAAAGTGTGACGTTGCAACATCTGAACCCCCCCCCCCTCCCCCCTCATCACACATCGTCACACAATTACGGACCCTCCTCCCCCCTACGAGTGTGACGTCATTTATGGATGACCCCTTATTTAACGTAAGATTGCAGGATTTTAATGATGCAGACAGTTTTTTTTAATACCATTGTCCCAAAAAGCACGTGAAAAGACCAGGTTTGTATTGATACAGTATAACCATATTGGCCATCAACAAATCATACCAATCGAGAGTCTGATACATTTACATGTACCGCGCTTAACCTTGTATTTAAAACGCCGCGTCATACAGGGACTAAATATTGCTCAAAATGTTTTTTAAAAACTATTTTTCTTTTTATGCTACACTATTGTCACCACCAGCTATTTCTATCCTCATTCTTCTGTCTTGCATTTGTAATTTTTGTCGATTTTATTTTCTGTAGAATATAATGAAATATATTCATTATTGTACAAATGCTGTTTAAATTGCGAAATTTATATCAGGAACTGCTTTAGTGGGTGGGGCAATATTATCACCCTTTACAAAGAAGATTTCCACCTTAGGATATTGTTTTTGTTTTATTTATATTTTTTACTTGCTACAATGGCAGCAAGCTGCGAGAAATTGGATCAACTTGTCAAAGATTATTTACTTTTTCGTGGATTTTCCTCCACTTTAAAAGCTCTTGACCAGGAACTTAAAATTGATAAAGACAAAGGATTAAGGGTAACTTTTACTATATAAAATATATTTGAGTCGTCCCTTTGAGTTTGAATCCCAGTCAGAACATCCCCATGGCCAATGAATATTGATATGAATAAATATTAAATAATGAATGAGGGACAGTTCAAGTCAAATATTATTTATATTAATTAATAAAAACGCTAGCATGATATAAATCTAGTAGTACTATAGAGCACGGTATCCTAATATTATAATATATAATAATATATAAAAACCCATATGTGCACCCCTCTCTCTCTACTCTGTCCGCAACATTTTTGAGGCTATGTGATCAGTATGTTCAGGCGTAGCGACTCTTCCTGGGGACAAACTTTCAAGTTTTCGATTTGCACCCCCCCCCACTCAAGTTTTCGATTTGCACCCCCCCCCCCTCCCTCAAACTTTCGATTTGCACCCCCCCCCCTTAAGTTTTTCTCTATATTTTTTGCCTATATATATTTAAAGAAGGAAAATAAAAATAAAGGCATATCATTGAATATTGGAATGTAGAAACACATTTTTAATTAATATTAATTATTAATTATTATATGTAGTCCACATATAACTGGTACAGACAGCTATTAGTAATAGAGTGTGCCAGATAAAAATAACACATGTTGGTATCATGATATTTCTATATCTTCAAACCCTTGACATCACAGGACGTATACATGACAAATCGTATCAATGCCACTTATACAGGCAGGTGAGCGTTGACTGTGTATATACGTGCCTTGGATGAAAATACTTTTTATTTCTGTATCGTGGCCCAATTATCAACTTGTGGCTGTCAGAATGGTACATTCTTAATATTTTAATCCCTTTATACTAAGTCGAGAAAAAAAAGAAAGTGGTCGGATGAATATGTACAGTATGGATTCACGTCTATAACGGAACTTGATGGATGTCAGTGTTCTTGCAATGCCAAGTTGAGCGTTTCAAGTCTAGCACTGGCAAAACTAAAAGAATACTTCATTAAGCAGCATGGAGATGGAAAATACAAGAACACTATGCTAGCTGAATTCAAGCTGAAGCAGCGCATTTCTGAACTGGTGTCTTAAAGAAGTCTCACTAATTTGCAGGAAATTTAATTAGCTTATTCATTATTTTATTTTTTTATGGAAATCCTATTTGGTTGTTTGGTTATTTGAATTTGAACACGATGTTGATGCATGGTTCATTTTGTACACCAGTAATATATACATACGAGCCGACCCGCAGCGTTTCATATGCCGCTATTTAGTTGTTTTATTTTCTACTTTTCCGTAATTCATTATTTGTGAATTCGACAGTACCAACGTTGCCACTGAAAATATTTGCTTTAAAACACTATCTATCAGTTAAGGACGATAACAGCCCTCCTTTCCCCAACCCCTACGCCACACACACAACCCCCCCTCCCCCCCGTGAAAGTAAACTCCTGTTAGTTACCTCCCCTAAGTTTAAGATCATTTCAAACTAAATTATCTGCCTCTAATAGCCGTCGCTAAACCCGGCTCTACGATTGTAAACATTTAGCGTGAACCACAGCTCACCAGACCATGTAGGGGTGGGGGTGGTAGTAGGGAGCGCGCTTACAGCTTGGTGTTTTCTATCGTCTTCAAGAAGAGAATTATATATATATATATATATATATATATATATATATATATATATATATATATATATATATATATATATATATATATATATATATTTATATATTTATATAACTATGTTTTGAATTTTTAGCGCAATTTCCATTCTGGAGAATTGCGTTTATTAACTCGTGGAGGGATGGATGGATGGATGTGTGTCCGCAGCTTTAAGTTGTATCTCCTCCTCAACGAAGCAATATCGAGGACTAGTTCCAAAAGCAAATATGTTAAGCAAGTTCAGAGGATGATTGTGGGCCAAAAAAATTCCCGGAATTCCTTCCTGGATTTCCCGGAAAAGCCAAAAAACCTCGAAAAAATGCAGTTTATGGCCCATATCTCGGCAACCAGACCACTTAGCGACTTGAAACATTTACCAATCGATTCCTGCCATAATTTAGAACTATATTGCCAAAGAAAGTTTTCAAAAATATCCTTTCGTTCGGTCACAAAAAAAATTTTAAAATTACATTATACATAATACATTACAGTACTATATAGCAAAATCGGCAGTGGAAGGCGAAGGAGGACGAGTGTAAATCATGTGACCTGGCTGGCTTAGCAGCGAACTCCGCGAGCCGCAAGCGAAGGAGGAGGAGCTAGTTTAAAAACAAACTTGATCACCATCTATTTTTAGACTATTATTTGAACATAAGGAAATTGCGCTTAAATTGTCACTAGACTTTTTATTAACTTGTTTTTTAAATCAAATTTTATTTTTCCTGTTAAGAGGCATATTAAGCTGGTGGGGTTTAATTAACCAAAAAGGTTAATTAAAATGATCTAAAAGTTAGCAAAGATGAAGATTTAGATTTTCAGAATCTAAAATTTCAACTTATACTATTATGTTTTGAATATATGATTTAGAAACATATTATTAATTCTTTAACTGAATTTAACTCCCAAATTTTTTGTACATAGATTTAAATACTAGATATACATGATAGTTTGAAGGGTCAGTAAATAATTATTAAATTAAAAAATTAATGTTTAGATTTTCTTTTTGATTTATAGCTAGATTAAATATAGAATTTAAAAAAATTTGGTATGAAGAATTTCAGTATTATATAATCCACTAACATTATAATCTGGAAGTTTATGTTTCTATCTTTTAAATCAATAAAAATATAATACATTTTTAAAACTATTCAAAGGTTGATAGAATGATGGAACAAATATGGACTTTAATTTCTGGATATGATCTTCAAGGACTACGTGATTACTGGAAGTACTTAAACTACCGTCTCTTCTCAAGGCTGGAACAGCGCTACAGCTCCAGTGTCAGGAAGCTGGAAAGCAGCCTTCTAAAATTATATATAGTTAATGCTCACCAAAGTGGACGACAAGATAAAGTCCTGGCATTCTATGAACAACTGGGAGCAGAACTACAATCACACCCTGATTTCAAAGATTGGTTTGGTAATCAATAATACATCATTTGGGCTCAAATTTCAAATGCATCTTTTTTCTGTTTCTTGATAATTTTTTCGAATAAATCTCCATTATAATATTAAAATGAACTCTCAATATTACATTTTTTATAATGAGATTATTTTATGTTATTTGTTTATATAGTTATAACTTTTACACATCCTTTTCCTATTTTATCGTCAAGCTGTAACTATGTTGCTCAAATTATTTTGAAATTTCTACTTCTGTAGATCATGAATTATAATTATTAAGAATCTAAAAAGCAACAATAAGAACATTCTTAAATTAACGTTGTTGTCTATTTACTTTTAGCTTTTCCTTTTGTGGCAAATCCATCCGAGAACCCGATGTTTTTACTCTACTTCAGCAAACAGTGGCAAGATACTTTACAGCTGTCTTTGCACAATTTTTTGTCAGTGGTTTTGCAAGCAATGCATATCCTTTTCTATTACTTCCTAATTAGGAGTCAAGTTCATTAAGAAAGTTAACATATAACTAATACCTTTTTAGTATATTAAAAAAAATCACAAAAGTTTTGTAATAACTGTTTGATAACCTTAACTTTATTAACCAGTTCCAACATTGCTAAATGTTGAGTTTGATGCTAGAAGAATGAAAACATTACAAGAAGAAAATATAACTCTCAAACAGCAGGTGCCTTACATGTTTTTAAAAGTAAACTCTATGATGGCAAATTACAAATAAAATTTATACAAAATGTTAAGCACAATTTAAACCAGTGGAAATTTTATTTTTCAGCTGTTGAATCCTGGGATAGAACAAGGACCAGAATCCAAATCTAGCATTAAAAGAAACCTACATACAGAGTTGCCTCCACCATCTTCTCCACCTGATATGGTGTATGATTTCTCTGGGTTGGCCAGGTAATTTTTACATTTAAGATTTCTAGTAAAAAAAATTATTTTCTCAGTCACTTAACTTCTCTTTCATTATCTTTTCCCAAAGAAAATAGGCTTCAATCATGCTTTTTTTTTAAAATTTTCTTTTGTTTAAAAAACCAGTTCTTCAAGCAATTTTATTTTTAGTAAAATGTATCATCAGCAATTATTAATGTAAAAAAAAAAACCACTTGTTTTTCTGTAGTGACAGTGAAACTCAGAGTGAAGAAAAGCAGAAGTCCACCAGACGGTTTCCCCTGAACCTCACATCTCCTTTAGTTGGCAGAAAGAAAACTCTGCCAGCCAAGCCAAAGGTGACAGCAACCACATCCAGTACCACAACTACTGCAGCAAGCTCTGCTTCCACTGTCACATCAACCACTGGATCCCAGGGAAAGGTAAAGATAGTTATCTGTCATACACAGAATGCTAGGGCATGGTAAAGATAATTATCTGTCATACACAGAATGTCAGGGCATGGTAAAGATAATTATCTGTCATACTTGAAATGCCAGGTAAAGATAATTATCAGTCATATGCAGAATGTGAGGGAAAGGTAAAGATAATTATCTGTCATACACAGAATGCTAGGGCATGGTAAAGATAATTATCTGTCATACTCAAAATGCCAGGTAAAGATAATTATCTGTCATATGCAGAATGTGAGGGAAAGGTAAAGATAATTATCTGTCATACACAGAATGTGAGGGAAAGGTAAAGATAATTATCTGTCATACACAGAATGTCAGGGCATGGTAAAGATAATTATCAGTCATACACAGAATGTCAGGGCATGGTAAAGATAATTATCTGTCATACACATAATGCCAGGGAAAGATAATTATCAGTCATACGCAAAATGCCAGGGCATGGAAAAGATATTTACCCCAGAAGAGCAACAGGCTCATAGTGATAGAGTAAGATAAATTCTTTGTCAAAATGGGTCTCGGATATACCATGTCAAAAATATTTTTTATAGCCCAATTGACTACTGAGTCTTTAGGGAAGGTAAAAAATAATGTTAAAAAAGAAAACAAAAACAAAAATCCCCTGTTAACTCTAGCTCTGTTAATGACTGGATGTTGTTCACATTTTTTACTCCAGACGTCCAGGCTAGCAGAGATGACTGTGTTCCCCCCAACAGAAGGGAGGAAAGCCTCGGCCCCAGCACTGACCACACAGTCAGCAGACGCCAACAGACAAGTAATGACTGGCAAGCAAAGCACAACTACTGGAGCTGTCCACATAACCAGACATGCAACATTTTCCTCTAGTGATGGACTAGGCACATCGGGAGCTCACGTACCAAATGTACCAAGATTCTTGATACCATCCAAATACATTGATATTTTCCTTCTTGCTATAAATATAGCAACCAATCTGATACACGAATTATATCTCTGATATAATTACATTTTCTTTGCTTAATTTATACTATTCCTAATACTGAGTTTGTTAATTAATTTGTTAGAAAAATAATGCTTTCAGTCAAAGCAACTCATATTCTCTTGTTCATGCAGAGGTCCATGTCTGTCCCTGACAAAGTGACAGCCTTACGAAGTAAACCTGTAACAAGTAAACATAGATCAGAGACCCCTGGTACATCAGCAAACTTGGCCAGTGCAGCTCCATCTTCTGCTGGCTCAGATGTGGAGTCTGATGGCCAAATGATAGCAGCAGGTAAACATTGGCAGCAGAGTGGAGGGTTTTGGCTTGTTTAGGCTAGGGTATTTCCCTTGTTAGAGTTACTGTCCTTGATAGAGTTAATGTCCTTGATAGAGTTACTGTCCTTGATAGAGTTACTGTCCTTGATATAGTTACTGTCCTCGATAGAGTTACTGTCCATGATAGAGTCACTGGCCATATTAGAATTACTTTCCTTGGTAGAGTTATTGCCATGGATAGAAATGGTGTCCTTTAAACAAGAGAAAGTGACTTCTAAAAAGAAGAATAAGGGAAACAAAGCCACTTCATATTATTTTTACAGAAGTTCTCCATGCAATATTAATTATTATTGCTATCTCCAGATTAAATATTTTAACTCCACTAATTATTTGCTCATGGTATTAGTAACTATTTAATCTGTTAACATTTTTGCTCTTTATTTTGTTTTCAGATGCTGACAGCCCATTTTTGTTATTAGAGGTTAGTGTAAAATATGCTATTACCTTTAGAATTCATAGAAATTCATTTTCAATGTTTAAATGAAAACTTTCATAATTAAAATATGTGTGAGTCAGTGAATTGTAAAGCATGCCATCTATTTCTGAAACATTTGAAACTATTCAATGATTGAACAGGATGAATATACAGAACACAGCTCCGCTGCCACCTTTTGTCGCTTCAGCTTGACAGGGCAGTACGTGGCTAGTCTTGATGTTGATGGCATTGTGAAGTAAGTTTTTAATGTGGTCTATACTAGATATTTGGACTGCAAAAATAGTAGGCTCTTATCTGATTGCCTTCTTTATTCACAGCACGCTACCATGTTTATCACTTCCATGACATACATTTGTTTCTGTGTATGTGTAATGTATGAATATGGGCCCTTTAGCCTAGTCATGTATTTGTTTCTGTGTTAGCAGGGTGTGATATGGGCCCCCTAGATCAGTCGTGTATTTGTTTGAGGATGTGGAGCCCCCATGCCTTAGTCATATATTAATTTGTTGCGTGTGAAGTGTAGTTTGGGGCCCCTAGCTCAGTCATAGATCATATATTTGTCTCTACGTGTGCAGGTTGTGGATGTGGACCCCCCCCCACCCAGTCAATAGGTCATATATTTGTTTCTACGTGTGCAGGGTGTGGATGTGGAGCCCCCAACCAGCAACTACTGCAACCGTTATGTCCAAGTCAGCTTTCCTCTCCTTAGCCTGGGCCAGCAAATCTGATCGCTGGGTAAGTTATTCTATCTTGCAGCACGTTCATGTCTTAAAGCAGATAAAGTTTAAATAAGTCTATCAATATTGAAATGTTAATGATAATTATTGAAAAGAATTAAATATTCTATTTATTTAAAATATTATTTTATTTGAACAACATGTTGCAAGATTGTCTGTGTTTCCCTGTAAACTGTTATACTACTTTATACTGAAGCTTATTACAGACCTTAGTTTTTTATGATCAGACTTTGTAAAGATGAAAATAACTTTTTCCAGTTATTATTGGGCAACAAAACTGGCACAATTCGTCTGTTTGATGTGAAGGAGAGTAAGACTTACAGGGAGGTACACGTCCATCCAGATAACCCAGCCAAGTAGGTCTTCACTTACTCTAAAGGGGGGTAACCTATCCATACAAACCCATGACTTTATTATTGCAATACACAGAATTTAATTTTTGTTTAAATTAGAAGTTCTAGCCCTGTCTACACTTATTTAAAGTTTTCACAGCCTTATTTATACAATCATTATATTTTTATAGTCCTGGAGTTTTATGTTTATTTCCCAGAAATTTTAAATTTATATTAGGCAAAAAACATCTTGATGGTCTGTGAATTCTCTACATTTTTTTTCAGCTGTATGAATGTTCTAGATTTATCAACAAGTCCATCAAGTGTCCAGTTTGTCTCTGCTACATCTGACCATTGCCCTTTTACCTCTGACCTTAGCACAGTCACTGGTAGACTGTTACAGTGGGATTTAAGAACTTTAAAAGTTGAGGTAAATCACAATCTTTTCATTTTTTCTCAATTATTTTAATCAACATGATTCCTGCATATTAACTTTTATCTAGCCTCTTAGGGCACACAGGTTCAATTATAATTTTAACCTTTTTTTTTGTCTGATAAAAAACGAAATTAAAATGTATGATTTCCAAAAGTTAGAAAGAACCATGGCAAAGAAAACTGCAGATTCAGGTGTATATTTAATACCCTCATTATAAAGTTGTGTTTCAATATTTTCTGTGTGTCCCCATATGTAATATTTTCTTTCTATCACAGAGAATGCTGCAAGTAGAGTCCACAGTATGTAACGTCATCACAAGCTCAGCCTACAGCCAGAGTGGTCACTTATTGCTGACTGGAGGGGCAGATGGTTCAATTAGGATTTATGGTAAGGGGCAGATGGTGCCATTGGGATTTATGGTAAGGGGCAGATGGTGCCATTGGGATTTATGGTATGGGAAGATGGTTCCATTAGGATTTATGGTAAGGGCAGATGGTTCCTGTAGGATTTATGGTAAGGGCAGATGGTTCCATTGGGATTTATGGTAAAGGCAGATGGTCCCATTGGGATTTATTGTTAATTTTTAAAAATTCTGTTCTGATAGAGGTATGTTTTTGTTTTAGATGCCAGCAATACAAAACCAGTTCTAAAGTGGCAGGGTCATGATGCCCCAGTACACACGGTCCAGTTCCATGGAGAGAAATCTGTTTACACCATGTCAGCTGATGGGGAGGTAATACACTTGTTACTCTAGGGACAGCAGCCTACATGGTGCTCACACTCACACAACCTACATAGTGCTCACACTCACACAGCCTACATGGTGCTCACAGTCTACATAGTGCTCACACAACTTACATAGTGCTCACACTCACACAGCCTACATGGTACTTACACTCACACAGCGTACATGGTGCTCACACAGCCTACATAGTGATTACACTCACACAACCTACATAGTGCTCACATACATACTGGGGTCATCCATTTATGATATTTACAGTTGGGGGAGGGTCTCAAAAACTGACCTCCTTGTGTGTGTGTGGGGGGGGGGGTTTGTTTTCTGTGTGTAGTGGTGGTGGAGTGTGTTTTTGTGTAGTGGTGGCTGTTTCTGTCAACATCATCAATGGATGACACCTAGCAACCCAACAACAGCACGGCAGACTTTATCAATATTTTGACACAACTGATATTTTCACAATTTTTTCTTCAGTTGCGTGAGTGGAGCCTGCCCAAACCAGGTCAGCTGATCAGTTCTCTCCACTGTGGACCTAGGGACCTTGGAAAGGTCAACTCTGGTGGTTGCCGTGGGCGGCTGTTTTCCCTTGATTTAGACCAGCATTATCTCTTAACGTACACAGGAAAGAAAGGCTCCATATTTAAAGTTAGTACAGCAGTAATGTGACTGTGATAAAACTTTGTTCTTACAGCGCAGTAATTAGACTCATTAATTAGATTTAGTTTCGTAGACCTCCATTATTGTAGTATTTTTGTCAAATGTTTCATTAATCCATATTTAATGGAATATACCTACTCTTTTTTTAATGCTGGTCATGTGTACTAAATAATGTTTTTCATCCAAAAATTTTAGATTTATATTTTTTTTGGATTTAGATTTGTTCAACTAAGTCCTCCATTTTGTTTTCTATTTTCAGATAACGGATGGTGCTAGTCCCACCTCAGTCATGGAGCTCAAGTCTCATCAGTCACCAGTGGTCACAGTTGATTGGTCGCCATCACTGGACACTAGAGTTTGTCTGACTGGTTCTTCTGATGCCAAAATAAAAATATCAACCCTACTTTCAAAGTAAATCAGCTAGTGTTCAACCAAATTGTTTTAGTTTTAAAACTAATGATTATTTATTGCTAATGAACTTATATTTTGTTTATGCTCTAGTCATTCCAAACACATTTAATCATGACCACATTTAAACTAGAACAATTGAAGACATTTTAAAACTAATATTTGAAATGTTCACTTTTGTGAAATTGAGTATGTCTGTATTAGTGTTGCTAAACCCAAGTTTATTTAATATGTATCTGACTCTTACCCATTGTAATGTTCAAAATTGTTTATTTATTGTTTTTGTAAAAATATGAAACACGAGCCGACCCGCTGCGTATCATACACCGCTATTTAGTTGTTTTTTTTTTTCTACTTTTCAGTAATTTATAATTTGTGAATTCGACGGAACCAATGCTGCCACTGAAAATATTTGCTTAAAAACACTAACCCCCCCCCCCCATGTGAAAGCAGCCGCCTCTTGGTTACCTCTAAGTTTAAAATCGTTTCAAACTAAATTATCTGCCCCTAATAGCCGTTACCAAACCCGTCTCTATGATTGTAAAATGTAAACAGCGTAAGCACAGCTCACCAGACAATGTGGGGGTGGTAGTGATAGTGATAGAGAGAAAGAGAGGGGACTGCAAGGAGGCGCTTGCAGCTTGTTTTCTAACTGATCCCAGAAGAGAATTATATATATAGATTGTTAGATTTCTCATTAACATTCTTAAATTGTTTAAATGTAATATCTTTTTTAAGTAAAATTCTTATTTTTTAATGATTTTTATTTACAACTGAAATAAAATATAAAAGTAGTATTTATTGTGTATGGTAATTTACTTAGGTATATACTGTAAATATTTGACTTTAAAAAATCCTTTAAAGTTAAAGCTTCTTGTCTAGACTATAGAAATATGATTTAAAGGAAACAATTTATTACTACACACTGCTGTTCTAAATAAATTATTTCAAGACTCTTCTATGAAGTAGTACATTTCAGTTAGCCTTCAGGTTATATAAATGGCATTTTTAAAATCCTTCCACCCTTCTTATTAACACATTCATCTTATTAATTCTACACATTTGTTTTAACTTTTACACCTTGACCCCCTTGAACTTACTGTCCAGGATATTTTAAGATAGTTATATCAGTACACATTTGCTTAGTATATGGCTGCTTAACATCTGTCAAGTGAAAAGACCATTTGTCCTTTAGACCACCATTAGCTTTCATGCATTATAAAGCTGGACTTTATTTAAGGAAAAACAATGTCAACTATAATGATGAAATATTTGATTAAATCAGTGGTAATGTCCTGGAGTCCATTTGAAATCAGATGCTGACTAAAGTTGAATGTCTTACAAGTTTTTGTCTAAGCAGTTCTTTTTAAATCCTGAACAAAATAACAACTTTAGCCATCTCAAGTTTGAGTGTACATGTTTTTAACGTGATAGTGTTTAATTCTCCATAGAAACTTACCAACAGCCAAAGGGTTATAAAAATGTGTGGAATGTTTTTTTAATTATTTTTATTTTAAAAAAATGTTTCTTGCATCAAAACCCCCAACATTTGTGGGGGTCTGTAAGAGGTCGGAGTGGGCGGGTTGTTGAAGCTCATAGTTTCTGAACCAATAAGTCCAGAGTTTGAACCCCCGGGCAAATGAGGCTCGATAGCTAGGGACAGCCACCAATCTAGGAGAGAAAACTACAAAACAAACAACTGCTGCCTTGTTTGTTTTTGGTTGGACAAAGGCTATGGAAGTAAATCCAAAAAGAAATACAGGCTGAAATCGGGGTCAACGGCCTAAATAGTGCATAACCAGTTGACACGTATACTTGTGTTGGAGTGAATGTCTTTCAACACTAGAATTGAGAACGAAGAATAAGTGGGGTCTGTTCATAATTGTCATGCTGTTGTTAATATTTTTTGAAAATCACAATTACTTTTATGGGACAACTGTGATTAAACATTTTTAAAAGTGTCTCTCTGTTTTAACCTACATCTGTATTCAAATCTTGTGATATTTTTAACATTTTATAACTATACAGTTTTGTTGATTTAGTTCTAGTAACTTCTAGATCACTATTAGGGCCAGGGGTGGTCGGGTCGCTGCTAAACCAAAAAATCGAGGCGAGAAAACTCAAAATTCAAACAACTGCTGCCTTATAGTTTGTTCTAGGATGGGCAAAGACTATGAAAGCAAACCCAGAAAGAAAAGCAGGCTGAAATTGGATCAATGGCCTATATGGCACACAATTTGTTGACACGTAATGCTTATCTGTGTTGGAGGAAATGCCATCCAACATTACATTTAAGAATGAAAATTTAACAGTTGCGCATATTCCTGATCTAAATTTTGACTTAAGAGTGGCAGGAGCAAGTTAGTTTGGTTCAGTTTTATTTGTCTGTCTGGAACTAATCAAAAACACTTTATAAACAACTAAGTCAAAGGACAACATGCAGACAATCTGTTTAAAAATCTGAAAAATCACTTTTTTTTCTATCCTCATCGTAACTCTTCTTGGCATGTTCTGTATTATGTGGTAGTTCAGCTTTACTATTTACTACATGACCCTTTATTTGTTATGTATTATTATGTCATCACATCTATAATTACAGTAATTGTAGCATTGGAATGTAAAAACACTATAAAAAGTTGCCCACAAGTCACACACAACAAAAGTACAAATACAACAAACAAGTTGCCCACAAGTCACACCACTAAAGAACAAATACAACAAACAAGTTGCCCACCAGTCACACACCACTAAAGAACAAATACAATGAACAAGTTGCCCACAAGTCACACACCACTAAAGAACAAATACAATGAACAAGTTGCCTACTTGACATACTAAAGTTAGCAGCTATGTGGATGTTTTAAAGAAAACACCAACTAAAATGTGGGTGATGGAGAGGGAAGTATTTTATACAGGAAGTAAATACTACTCATGGATACCAGATGACATACTAAGCAATCAAACAGGATACTTAATTCAAATGGGATAGACAGCTTCGTCATAAATAAACAAATTTGTTGGCTAACAGTGTCTACATTGTACAGTTTTAGCCAGCTTACCCTTCTTTTAAAAATAACTTTGGTTTCCACATGTTTAAAAATAGGGAGTCTCCCATATAATTATTAATTGTTGATTAGCAGTTCAAATAAAGAAAACATCCAGATTTAATATTTAATTTCTGTGCTGATGTTGCAATTATTATATAACATTAACAGATGATACTTTGTAGCACTAAACAGCTTATGCCTTTTATGTAAATAACAAACACACACAAAAAAATAGATATTAAAATAAATTTTAAATTCGGACACTTAACATTACCATCAACAGACACAAAAATTACTAAAAAGAAAACAAGTCATCAATGTTTTTATTTTTTTGTTACAACTTTAAAAAGATGCAGTTTTTAAAAATATACTGGTAAGAACCACTAGCTAGCTGAGTAATGTTTTTACATTTTGTAATGAAATGCTTCTAAAAAAAATTCTTTTTTTTTACAAGTAAGTTTGGTTTGATTTTAAAAACTCAAAAATGTTTGAACTTGTGAGGTTAATAAAATAGGAATGTTTGATTGCGTGACACATTGACTGAATGAAACATTTTATGATGCAAAGCAAAAATCACAATTATAATGATGTATGTCTTTTAACATAGATTGTTTTACAAGTACACAATTTCTTTTATCACATCCTGATCCGTAATTCTGCGCCAATTGTTTGAAAAAAAAATGTTATAATGTACAGACTTGTATATCACTCCTGGGGAAGCTGTGAAGTAAACAATTGCAGCACAGTAAGTACTAAGGAAGTACAAGAAAAGTGTGGCAGACATTCCAGAATTTTTATTAGATACATTAGATGGTTAAGTTTTCTTTTAGCCACCATTGAAATGACGTCTTACTTATAATTCAGCCCTAAAGTTGAAAGGGTTGATAAGAACACATTGTAGAGGTGAAGCGTTTCTTCACATTCCAATAAAACAATCAGCAACAACAGCTCTCATCAGATTGGCTGTGTTGTTTATAATAGCTTTAGCGTGACCAATTTACATTCATATATTTAAAGTAGATTTTTATGTAATGTACTAAACAATTCTGAAATCTATGACAATAGTCAGGCAATCCATCAATTTCACAAATAAAGTAACAGGATTTCTTGGTTTTACAGAAACAATACTACACACCCACTTTAAAATTTTACACGAAGAGCCAACTGCATTCATAATATTTAAGCTGCAGTGTGCAATATGCAATTTGATAACAGTCAGATTTATCTAGAAGAAATGCATAATTAAAGACAAAAGCTTTCAATGATTCAAGTGAAATGTGCATCACATCAAAACAAAGTCATTACATATAAAAATAAAAATTAGCAAAGACATCTTGTGACATCACATTTTTTTTCATTAAACACAACAATTTATTTGACATTTCATAACAATTTTCCACCTTACAAGTTTAGAAAGAGATCCTTTTTTTTTTTATTTCTCACACTAACTATGAAAGCTGTTTACAATCTAGCATTACCATATAAGATAATATTCTTCCTGGTTTCACAAAAAAATGACATTTCTTACATAGCTTTATCCTCTAAACCCACAATTGATGAACACTGTTTTTTTTAAAAATTAATATGTAACTCGTAGTAAAATATGTATGAACGGGTTTGGACATTTGATTTTAAAGTGAAGCATTGATCTTATATATTCAACAAAGAGGCGAGTAAACCAGTGTATCTGATGAGTTCAATTAAGTCATGTATAAAACAATTTCTTACATGATTGTAAATTTTTAAAACCCTATTTACAAAATCATATCGAGCATGATATGTGATATTTTATAAAAAGAAAATTGCTCATGTATAAAGAAATAAAACCAAGCACAGTTAAACAGCTTAACAAAATATAGATTCTTTTAGGCCAAGCAACAAATAAAATCATAATAAATTAAACAAGTAAAAGGTAGCATATGCTTCATTCAGAGAAAACATAACCTTAGGTAAGGACAAAATCAGTTGAAATAGAAAATATGGTACAGCATTGAATAGCAAAATAAAATGTAAATATCTGCAAGAAAATGTTTTATGGTTATAAATTTATATATGTGCCTTGTAAACCTCTTGTTACAAACCAGAAAAAATTGCACTTTTTAATCCATGTGATTTGGCTAAGCAAAGAAATGACTTTCTAAAATCAATTTTTGCTCAAAATAGCCAACCACAAACTATTTTGAATACTGGTGACAAAATTTAGATTTATAAATAACTCTCTAAACATTCATCTTCATCAACACTATCTCAAAAAAAAAACTTTTATGATTTTTAAAATGTTTTTGTCTTTAAAGAAACAAACTCCTGAGAAAAAATAAATCCAGATAGAAACACCACACTGTTGGTAGTCAAGTTGATTACATCCAAATACAGGTCAAGAAACGTGCAAGCAAAGCATGAAAACCATATAATATCACTAGAGTAAGATGAAAGAACACTTGAAACACCCCACGCAGGGGGAGTTGGATATTATCCGCACACAACATTTATTCAGCCTCACCAGCTTCCTGTTTGGCAGCTGCAACTATCACCTGAACCACGTGATTTTTTGGAATTCTGGTATCTTCTATACGCAGCTTATCATTGAGCAAACGTCCAGCATAAAACCACCTCTGTCTATGTGGTTCTACCCCCACCTCCAGCTCTGCTATTCGTTTTTTTATCTTTAGAACTGTGTCTGTTGACGACACAGCCAGTTTGATGTCGTGACTCAGGTTGGACAGGCGGAAGCGAATAGGCTGCTCTACCCCGGGGGATGGGTTGGCGTCTGTGTCAGGCGGGGTCTCACTCTCACTAGTGTCTTCTATTAGATTGGCTGGGGCACTTAGAACATAATGTGGTAGTTGGTATCTGTTGCCTAGCTCATCATAACAATCCATTAGCGTGCCTGGAATTCAATAGTTACAAGTTACAGGTGGTTTGTGCATTAGAAAAAAGATTTTAAAAATAGCTATTTCAAATTTTAACAACTAGACTGGCTTAAATTTTAGCATAATGTTTAATGAAGAATTTTGATAAACATGTTTTTTTATACAATACATAAAAGTTCAGTTTAAACCAGAGTTCATATACTTGCTAACTTTAATCACAATTAAAATAACATATACTATAAACTTTCTATTAAATTTGAAAAATGAATTAAATTTTAGAATCATGGAAGAATAAAGGTACTCTAAGATTCCGTATAATTAAGAAAGTGTTAACAACAATACAAGATGAAATATGAACTAGTATATTCTGACCATGTGGAAGAGATATGCTAGCCCCATCAACAATGGCCTGAGCCAATGAATGATCACCAGTTTCTAAGGCATAGGAGGCAGCTTTCAGAGCATCCCAAATTTCTTTTCTACCATCAAAGGCTGGAGCTGTGTCCCAAAATTCATCTCTTTTACTCCGCAACTGGCTCTCAGTTAAAGGTACATCGCTTTTCCATTTGGGTTTCTCAGGTTTTAATGGTTGATTTCTCCCAACAGAAACTGCAACAAAAGTTGTGAATAGTGATACAGATAATAAAATAAAAAAATAACAGTGCTAACTATTTTCATGCTGTGTGGCTGTTAGCTAGATGGGAAAGATTCAATGCTCAAAATTCATACATTCACAGCTGACTGGGAGTATGCATCCAGTTAGTTGTCATTCTCATTTGGGATTATCAACGATGTCGAAAGTATGAGATTATACTGAGGTGTCTATTCAATATTGTATTGTAAACTGTGAAGGGGTTGGTTTATCATTTTGATTTAATATGTTACAATGGGTATGAGAATAGGGTGGAAAGCAATGTTGTGCAGGGCCCATTGCTTTTCAAAGAAATTAGCTTAGCTTTTCAGAAGCAAAAATAAAAATGCTAAATTATAGACCTGTGTTGCTTTGGCATGTATAATGTATGAATAACATGATATACTTGTAAACCATTCTTATTATGGCTTTAGCCAAATACATAATACTTTGAAAATGAAGCTACTTGACAAAGATAAGCATCTCTACTGTATTCACAATAGGTCTCGTACTATATTTCCATTATTTCAATCCATTGCTGTCAACATAATACAACACTGTCAACACAGCCCTCACTTCTTCACTCATGTCTATAGATCTGCTAAGGCTTTGTCACTCAATGTGAAGATTTTTTTTTAAAGGAGCGGAACTGATGTGATAAGCCCCCTTCTGCTACAAGTGTAACTAAGCAGTCAATGTATTGTTTTTGTTTAGATTACACTCCCTGTAAAATGTAAATCTATCAACATTTCAGACTGTGATTAGGTACCCACAAAAAACAGATAACCCGTTCTTATAAAATGCATTTAAAAGATATTGATATTGCATCTTATTAAAAATAATGATTTTTTCCAACAGCAGGCTTGCATAAATTTAATAATCTTTTTTGGCACATCAATTAAGAATTTAGTTTTTTTTTGTTAGTTAGTTAGATTTTAGGCATACATCTATAAATATCTGGTCTATTATCATGAAACTAATAGTAGTTAATAGGTCTAACATATCATTATTAAGTCAAAATATTAGATTAGAGGCTTCTTAGCAAGCACTCAAGAAGTAAATAAAAGGGCTTAGATTTAGATTAATTTAATTTAAAAGCCTAATTAAAAGGGTCTTTGGAAAATGCAAGACGATAACAGTAAGGCGGTAAAATGCTACAAGAAAATGTTAGACATACCTGCTGAATTACGGGTAACAGCAAGTAATTTACGCTATTTCTGATTTTTTAAAAATTACATATGAATTTATAAAGTACTAATAATAGTGTGCACTATTATACACATATTGTTTGCCATTCACTTGGTGCGCAATTCTTTTTTTCTATGAGATTCTATTCTATTTTAAAAAGTTTAAGTAATTAAAAAAGGATTAAAAATCATGTCTATATCCAGTTGCAATCCCCTGTAGTGATATATAAGAATATTTGAGAAAGTTTAGGAGAGATCACTCCCTATTTATTTATTTTCTTGATCTAGATTTCCTTTATAATTAATAAAATATCCAAGAAATATGCCCAATCAAAACTATAAACATCGTTGCTCCTATGATTGCCAGCTCATGTTTTCTTGTCAGCTGGAGAAATATCCTGATATGGTCATTATGAGTGATTTTTGTTTATATAAATCACCAATATGTGGGGGATAAAATGTGAGACATGGTCATATATGTCATGTAACAAGCCAATATGCATCCTTCTCGCATTTTACCTCCTTGCCACTTCATATTTCACCAAGACCCTAATAGTAATACTAATTAATATAAAAATTATAAGAGGGTCAACAGGGTCAAATTGAATAATATAGGCCTAATAATAATATTATTAATATATTGGTAGGCCCTAATTAGTAATATTAATAGGCCTAGATTCTATAATTAATAAAGAAGGCCTACCTACCTAACTATTACTAAGGCTATTTAATACTGATTTACTAATGCTATTTCATTGCATTTTTAATACAAATAATTTGGGATGACTTTAAATACTGATGTATGATAATAGACTATTATTCCATGAAATAGGGTTATAGGTGTATTGGGTTGTTAATAGTGTTGTAATCTCGACCAATTTTATGATTAGAAATTAGGGTTAGGCGTATGGTAGGACTAGGGTTGGGATTAGGGACAGAATTAGCATTGATATTAGCCAGCCATGTGTGTATTTAGTTAACTACCAGTAGGGCCTAACCTAACATCAACATCACTTTTTTTTAAAGATTCTGTTATTGGATACTGGTATAAAAATTGGCCGATGCTAGCCGGAATAAGATATGCATGCAATACGCAAGCGCAATGGAGAGAAACTACGACTTGCCTTCGCGGAGATGTTTTCTATGGTACTGCGCATGCGTGTGTTTACAACCGCAGAACCCTAACCCTATCCCTAATCTTATCCCTAACCCTAACCCTCATTCTAGCCCTTACCCTAGCCATAGCTCACTGCGCATGTGCAGAGCTATCTTTTGTCGACTAAGTGGAGACGTTGAGGAGAAAAATCTTCTTCCGAGTAGTCACTTCAATAAAAATTCCCCCATAAATTGGCTTATTTCACTCATTAGGTTAGGCCCAGATAATAGATCTAGATCTAGATCTAGTAAAAGCTAGTTGACATGCAAAAAATGTTTGCCTGACTATATCTAGATTCTAGACTAGCAACTAAGTAGAGTACCCAAAAAATAAATTAAAAATGAAGACTTTAGGGCCTAAATTTTAAATTTATCAGTGAAGTAAGAAGTTGAAAGCTGAAGCTGTAAGAAGCTGAGAGTACTGAGATTCTGAGAACATTTTTTACGGTAATCTATCGTTTTGGGTACGTAAAATCGCCCGCGGCTTTTTATGTACGAAAACGTTACCTCATTGTCAAGGCTTTAATAGAAGTATATTGTCATACTTTTGTGTCAAATATTATAGATAAATGAATAATAAACCTAAATCAATGGCTAAATATATCGATATAGGCCAGAAATTAACTTTAAACAGCAGTGTCTGAGAGCAAGATTTGCTATATAAACAGCAGCCATTTGTAAAATAGAGTGACTTCCCCCTGAATCTGGCGCTAAAAGCTTATAAAAATAAAACTTAGACAAGATGGCTGCCATAGTAAATGAGCATGATTGCATCTGTTGGAAACATCGTTAGTCTTCATTTATTACGGAAAAGTTTTAATTCAATTGTTTAAAAACAAGTACATAAATGAATCAAGGAAACATTTTTGAATTTTTAAAAACATAAATCCTCCTCAAAATGTGAAATAATTATTAAAATTTAAGGAGTCACCTGTTTTTCACATTACAAATCGCGGGCGATTTTACGTACCCAAAACGATAGATTACCTTTTTTACTTACCATGCTGCACCATCCCAGTGACATCTGAAGATTCCCCAGAAGGTGGGCCATTGTCTCTCTGGGATCCAATGCACCCACCCATATTAAAGTGACATAAAATATTGTAAGGTACTCTCGGTATACCTCATAGTAGACATATCCTAGTCTTGACAGAAGTATACTAAAACCTTATCACACACAGGATATAAAAACATTGCAATCACAACAAGGAAAATAACTATGCCAGATTTTACACAAATTAACGAGGCAGGCTAAAATTTTAAAATTATCAGATTAATAAATTGATTCCCTTAATATTAATAAGTTAAACAGCTTGGAAAAAAAATATATATCTTTATAAAAGGATCGAAATAAAAATTGATCCATATCAATTTTCTGTAGCTAAAATTATCTTGTGTGGACAAATGTAAAAACAAAACAAAAATAAAAAAACAAGAATGTGTATATCGAAAAGCAAGCTTTTCACATAGTTAAAAGTTAAAAGTATATATTTTCTATATAAATTATATAAATTTCATTTCGTTCGGGGTAGAAGAGATGCCTGGAAGAAACTCTGTAGATCTAGATCGTCTGTATTGCGTGTGAATAGCGATTCTTTATGTTTTAATTGTCAACCATTAGATATAGCTTTTATTGTTCTATCTCTTGATTATGATATAATTTTAACTACATTCAAAATATCACGTGTTTTAAAATGGTTTGTGCGCTACTTAATGTTGGCACTCAGATAATTAACAATAAAAACTTTATTAATATGTCAATACTATCGTTGAACTTTTCCTGTGCATGACTCACACTTCTAAAATATATTTTAAAACATAGTAGGCCCTTAGTATATGTCAGTATATGATGATGCCTATTTTTAGTATGCTGCAGTTTAAATGGGCCTACAGCTGTCCTTACACTGCTGATACAGCGTCACGATTATAAATACTAAACGGAAATTCCCAGCATCTTTATTGCTCATAACGACCGTGTTGCCAGATATGTTAGGAAATGTAAGTTTACCAGATCTAGATTCTAGATCTAGATCATGTACAATGTACAACTAAGCTTTGCTAAGCTAAGGTGACAGTACACTATTCATTCATCTATCCTACTGTTACTAGATCTACGTCGTTACATTTTTGTTAACTAGTCTAGATCTAGATTCTCTAGATCAATCGCCTATTCTAGATTCTAGATTTATAGGCCTACTAGATCTATATTTATATATTCAAGTGTCAAGTAGTATTACTAATTAATATTATTAATAATTATTTTTAAGTCAATTATTATAGTAATACATTTGTATTTACGACATTATGTAGTCTAGCTAGATTAATACACATACAATAATAGACAATTAATAGACATCTAACTACTAACTACATTTTAGAATAGTAGTTTAGAATATAGATCTAGATTCTAGTTACTAAACTGTATAAAATAATTAGTTAATAATTTAGATTCATATAAAATATAATTAAATATATAATAAATATAGTATACTTAATTTTCTTAAAACATCAATTTTTTTCTAAAATCTTGACTGAACTCTGTAAACAGTTTTTTAATCAATTTCTATTACAATTCATTAAAACAGCTTTCTAAAATGCAAAAGTACGGCTAAAATTTGTTTTCTAACATTACTATTTTTATAATTTTAAAATGCAAAAGTTTGGTGTCACACTATTTGAACCCCTCCCCTCTCATCACACACAATCACAAAATTATTGATCCCCCATCCACCCCTCAAATGTAAGGTCATTTATGGACGACCCCCTAACCCACAAGTCATGATTTAGGATCATAGACTGTAGTCTGTACAGTTGCCTTGAAAACATATAAGTTTGATGGGTAGATACTTCAGGAAAGTAAAAAGCTCTAAAAGGGTACTTTAATTTTCAAATAATAGTAGTCTTTTTCTTACTTGAAAAAAAAAATGTGCAGCCTATGATTTGTACTGGATCTATCTTACTGTGATGTTGTAACAACAATACTTATTAGGGTGTTGTTTTCTTTATGTAGGTTCAAGCATTGATCAGAGGTTTCAGCACTTACAATGTCTAGCCAACAATGAGTACTAGAACACCCAGCTTAACACACCGGCGTTTGTTGAAAAACCAACTAAACCGATTACATATTCCAGCATATGACAATTCTGAAGAAGTAAGATATATACCAGAACAGAACAGAGACAACAATTTGACTGTAAATGAATGTTGTGAACTATTTCAAGAATTTGTGTTAGAAAATTTCAGGAAAGAAAATTTGCAATATGATGAACTACTATTGCTGTAAGTAGGTTCCTGTATTATTTATATGTGTGTGTGTGTAAGCATGTGCATCCATGCAAGCGCTTGTGCATGTGTTAACTATTTGTGATGGTGTAGGAAACGCTTTTCGGCATTTGTTACAGCTTAAAATATGTTTTTAACAGTCACTTTGTGCTTTACATGTTTGTTTTTTTTATTAAGAATTTTTGTTTTTAAATTCAAATAAAATATGCTGATATAAAATTTATCATCACTTTTAAGCTTCCCTGAAAAGAAAATTACATCTTGTACTAAAGCAAGGGTTGATCTCAGCAAGATGACTAGAGAATTGGAGTCATCAAAAGAGAGAAAGAACTTAAAAGACTATGCAAGTCAGGTAATGCTAAAATTTGTATTAAAAATATACTAACACACAATTGGTATTTTTATAGATCTCACTAAATAATATCAGCATACATAAATTGATTTACATTTATTGATGTTTTTTTTTAGAAAGAAATGTTATTACATTCAACTTAGTACATTAATATTAAATGTTTGACATTTTGAAAATTAAAGTTTTGAGAATTTTCAAATCTATATGAACAACTTGTCACTATTTGCTATATTTTTAAAACTTTGATTCTACAGATAGATATGAGTGTTGACCAAGAATCATATTTTGACATTCTTCATGGCGTGTTAAGCTATCAGATCAATATCAAACAAGTCTTACTGCTGTTTTACTTCTGTTCTGATGTGGCCACTGTGGCACTCACAAAGAGCACCAATCTTTGTAAACAGTTTATTAATTGGTCACTTACTTTCATGATAAAACACATTTGTCCATGGGTTCAATATCAAGGTGGATGGGTAAGATCTAAAAGTTTCATAAAAACTAGTTATTGCATCAATTTGATGGCTGAAAAATATTGATTTAAATTTACTGTTATATATAACTAGCTTATGCCCGTGCTTCGTTATGATAAAAATAACATAACCTCAGCCCGCACACATGGCGGTCCCCGCATTGGTGTGGATATTACTTCAGCGCGCTGTGCACTGGTAGCGGTAGCACTTTGGTATTGATGTGTATATTCACAAAAATTAAGCTACAGTAAAAAAAATTAGCCAATGGCCTCACTGACATCTGCCCAGATTTCCCTCCTAAATTTGAATTATTGTAAAAATTTGAAAATACACTTTAACTGGGTGGTTAAAGAAACTATATTGCCCCAAAAAAAAGGGACAAATAACTATTTCAACATCATACATAAAAAAATTAAGTAGGCTATAATGGCTAGCCATTTTCATTTTAAAGGCAAAATTATTTAAAATAACATTTATTTATATTTAATTATCTGTTGGTCTTCACTTCATTCATGCAGGTGCTTATACAGAAAAAATAAAGTAGATTAGGATTAGAAACTATACATACATGATATTTACAGTTTATTTAGTGAACTAAAGGATTATTTATCTACTTGCTTTGCAGGATAACGTTTTTAAGAATCCGAGCATTTCATTGTACAGATTTCTTTTGCTGATGGCAGCTGGTGCTCTATTTTTGACTGTCTTTAGGTATTTAAAATAATTATATTTTACAATATAATAGAGATTAATCAAAAACTATGCAGACTATATACGTTTGATTTTTAAAAATTTCATTCATTGAGGTGATGCTCAGTTGTTTGAATATTTTTTAATGAATGTAAGTAAAAGAGAAATAATATTTTAAATGATCTGATCACATTAATATTTTGTTTTAATGACATTAGCGTTCCTTTAAAACATTATTGACAAAAGTTAATATTTATGTACAATTATTTTATCAATGGTTGTACTAAAATAAAGTTAATTTATTTTATTAAGATAATCAAATGACAATCAAAAGCATTTTCCCTCAAAACACTTTTTGACACTTGATGAATTAGGGATTAATGGTTTTTTTTTTACTTTTAATAACTTTTTAATTTAGATTTTTTAGTTTTGCATTATTAACCTATGTTGATCACATCCACGATTTATTTTAATAGCAGAAGCATTTTTTAAACATCATTTATAAAAAGTTTTAAGTAAATAATTCAGGCCTACAATTAATTTTTTTATATTTTTTTAGTTTTGCATAATTAATCTCTGTTGACAGTAATAAAAAAAATAATGTAATATAAAAACTTTTCTTTTAATCAAGACAAAAAATTATATATCCTTTTAAAATTATGTATTCTACCATATCTGTAATTACATTTTCTGCTTCAAATAAATTCTTTTAACCTACTTTAATCAAACTAAGTATGTTAGACATCATTTTGTCAAAACGAATCTATTGTGACTATAGTCAACTAGCTTGTTGTGAATTTATAAACTAACCATTCTTTTTTTTTTATATTTTGCAACCAATATTTGAGCTACTTCTGGTGGCAGCTGTTTTGTTGGTTAAAGATATATTTCTCTTCTATAGTTGCTAAATGATCTCATAAATTTTTCTGTAGATTTTGGATGATCTCATCAATTATTTCTGTGGGCTTAGTTGTTGAATGATCTCAATAGTATTTGTGATAACAGATTTTTTTTTAAATTTGCCTTGTGGCTGTTAGAAAAAAATGTATATATTGCTTGTATTTATATTGGGCATTTATTGCGAGAATGCAGTTTTTGTACTACTTACAGTTTTTTTATACCTCATAAACATTTATATAACACCACTACCCACACAAATCATAAAATCTGATATTATGGCAAATTGGATAGGCTATACGGTTGTGTCTAGCACGTAAATAACTCATTTTCTAATAAAACATTTTTGTTATCTAAAAGATATTTTAAAATTATGACTTTTATATTAATACATTATATGGCACTGCATGGCCTAGCGGTAGAGAGCTAGACTTCTAACCTGAATACCTCAAGTTCAAATCAGTAGAACATCACTCAGTCCACCAAGATCTGATGGGAAAGTAAAGGCGGCTGGGTATAGTGCTGACCACACTATCCCTTCATAAGCCAAAACACATGAACTCTACTTTGTTTGCCCCATGTGTCTTGGACACGAATGAAAAATAACATTCATACAGAATTGTATTAACGTGTTGCTGTGCTTAACTATGTAATATGCATAATGATTTGTTTTATTTTAAGGTTCATTAAACAAGAAAATAACTTTTTTCATTTTGATTTATCTCTTCTTTTTGCTAATGCTACATCACATTTAACCAATAGAAAAGGCTGCAAAAAAGTTGAATGAAAGACAACCTCATCAGTTTGATAGGATGATATTTTATTGACAGCTAGGTAATGTGATTGTCTAACTGCAAGTCTGACAAAATACAAGGTTTACAACATGACACAGATGACAGTTTTGTACTTCAGCACTAGACAATGTCCATTTGGCACACGGTGACACATCACTAATTTAAATAGACCCCAGCATCCTCCACTTACAGCCAATATAATTATGTTTTAGAGGAAACCAGATGCACAACAAATACTTTTTGAATCACGGAATGGATTATAACACTCTACAATACAAAATATTCACATGCAGTGGAAGACAAATGGCAATTTTTATTACAAGAAATTTGTTTATACTGAATATATAATTTCATCACATTTTAAAAACTGGTTAAGTTATTGGTTAGGTAAATAACTATTTCCACAAGGGTAAGTAACTCTAACAAGGCACAGCTGTAATATAAGTAGATCACACAGATTTATTACATGTGCTAAGGGACAGTTGATTTATTCTTAATATTTATTGTACTAACAGTAAACACTATCATACATGAAATAAATGGGGGGGGGGGGGGTTAAAAACAGCTCATAATTGCATATATTATAGCTTAGGTATAACGGAATAAAAAAAAATAAAAGGAATTTTAAAGAATGGATTTTTAACAGTTTTCAGTTTGTGTGGAAAAAGATTTTTCATCAAAATATAAGTTGTCAAGTCCAATAGGACTAGTGGAATGCTGTCTTGGACAAATGATGTTTAACAGTTTAACAATGCATTTATATCACTTTTAAAAAACTGATCCAAAATGGTTTCATTTATTATTTTAAAAAAATACTAAAGCATTATAATTGATTAAATACTCAAGATACATGAATATGAATTTAAATGACATCAATATGTGAAGCCATGGCTCACCAGAGCCTGAGTGTTCTGACAGATGAATTATCCAATTTAAGATAATGTTAACTTTCAGATAAAGTCATACATACACAGCAAAAATTGAAATAGAAAATAGATTTACCATGGCACTTATTAGGTGCAGAAAATAGAATTATTACGGTTGTGTATGTTTACTAATGGAAAGAGTTCAATGTATGTAGCATAGAGGGAATATGGAGCAGCCTGCATAGTGGTGATCATGATGCATTTTAATGAATAAACCTGTATTGTTTTACAGGTAAATAACACAAAATAACAATAGAAAAATAAAGGTGAAGTTATTGTTACAAATAAGGTGTAGACATGCATATAAATACAATGAGACATGCTGTCATAAATACAATTAAAATAATGTTACACATTTATAACAAAGAAAATTGAATATCCAATCGAAACCTTCTTTGTATAATCTACACACAAAAAAACTAGCTTACACTAAAGCAATGTGTATTTTCCCACGTAGCTACAACCATAGGCTAAATTAGCCACAAACCCTGTTATCAAAGGTAAAATTAGCCACAAACCCTGTTATCATAGGTTACATTAGCCACAAACCCTGATATCATAGGTAACATAGTTTTTCTTAGCTAATGCAAAGAATTGTTCCCACTTATGGAATGCTGACAACATACAACATATGTATAAACAAAGATCAACTAGCATATCTGCATTAGGATGTGGTTTTTATGTACATTCACACACAATACTGACATTAGATGATACAAAGTTGAGTGTATACCAGTCCACATACTCTTCATGGATGGTTTAATTAAGCTTCAGGCTTTCATTAAAGCTACATAAGAGCTGACTAGAATGATACCCAACTAAGATACAAGTACAATTTTGGACATTGCATTAATGCTTCCATGCATCTGAAATTAATCTGCCACTTGTATGGTTTAGTTGAGAAATCACAGATATCTTTTTAGATATAGGTAAATTTACACAGGTTCAAATGATACATTTTTTCATGCGTTCACATGCTGCAATGGAGGATAATTACACCACATCTTAATGTAGTGTATGACTGACAAGTTAGTATAAATTCTAAACTTTAAAAAAAATATGTGTTTATAAAATCAGCAGTTTAAAAACTGTGAAAAAAAAATTAATGGATATCTTAAGAGGGATAAAAAAAAATTAGCAAGCAGTAACCAAGCTGGTACAAAGGTTAAAAACTAGCTGTTGTATTATGATACCATTAAGTTATTTATATTGTTTTATGTAACAGTATTCTTCAAAAACTAAACCACCATCAAAAATAAAATGACAAATATTTAAGTAGATTGAGCAAACCACATGTAAAAAACCCTGTGAAAACATCTCAGAGAGTCATGGGTGTGTATAAATGGAACGTTGTAACATTGCATATGTGCGCCATCTACAAGTGTTTCCTTCAAATCGATGAAAGTTATTTTTTTTATATTCAAAAACTCCCATGAGAGTTACGTTTTAAAAAAAAAATCAGCACTTCCAAAATGCACAGTGTGCAGTTCCTAGGTAATCTTAATAAAGAATAGCTGTAGCTTGCTATGAAAGTTAAATAATTTGAGTACTTTTGAAGGTTAACACATTGTGTAGATGGAAACATTGAAACTTAGATTTGCAGGCTACAATTCAATGTTTCAGAAGCTATCGATTAAATGTGAGAGAAAAACTCAACAAAAACTTTGACTGCTGGCGTATCACAAGTTGCCTTCATCCATCAGAGTATTTAGGTCAGCCACTATAGCCTCCATGATAGACTTGAAGGATTGGTTGGTAAAGACAGCATCAAGGAACTCTGGCTCACTAAATGTGTTAAATACTATATCGACGCGAGTCTTTGATTTGTCTGTTAGATGCCGGGCTATTATTGTCTGCAGAAGCTGCTTGCATTCTTCTAAGCTTTTCCTTAAAAAGGCTTTGTCGTATGTGAAATCAACCTATAGATGAACAGTAAAGTCAGCTAAGGTCACTGTTAAAGGAATAACTAGGCGCTAACACAAGGGGAGATGGACAGTAGAGTCAGCTAAGGTCACTGTTAAAGGAATAACTAACACAAGGGGAGACAACAAAACTAACCTGGTGAAATGAAACTAATGTCATTGCAAGTGAATGAAACTTTTGTTTGAACAACTCCACATTGGTCAATTCCTCTCTGTTGAACTGGTCATTTTTGTAAAGTATCCCAACCTGAAATCATGTGTGTAAGTTTCATGTGTGTAATTTAAAAAAAAAAATGAGACAGCACAGTTAAAAGGTGAGCAAAAGACTTCTAATTCCAAAATCTCAAGCTCAGGGTTCAAGTTAGTAGAACATGCCTGAGGAGTCCAACCAGTCAGGGAAAGTAAAAGCAGCTAAGAATAGTGCTGACCACACTATAACTTAAGCCATGGTTACAGAAACAGGTGAACTATACTTCATTTGCCCTATAAAACAACAGGTTTGAAAGGGAACTTTCTTTTTTTAAAATTGTATTTATGACTTGCTGGCAGCTTAATAGTGTTTATCATTTAAAATAATTTTTATTCACCAACATAAAACTACACCATGGCTACCTTGACAACCGATTTGATGATGTACTTCAGTACTTTATCTGCCTCTTTTTTATGTCCTTTATATTGCTTCAGCACTTTGTGGGCATTGTCCAGCACCCGCCCTGTTGTTTCATCAATAAATGTCATGGCAATCTTTTTACTTGACATTTTCCCCAGAAGTTTTTTCTGTGCGCGTAGCCCCAGTCCTCTGGAGTCAAACCCAGCCCCTGGTTCAGCCACTATAAGAAAATACACAAATACATTTTCTCAAAGTCATGAATATATGAGTAAACTACTGTTGAAATATTTTTATACATTTTCTCAAAGTCATGAATACATGAGTAAACTACTGTTGAAATATTTTTTTTTACGTATACCGTATCACCAAGAGCAATGCATAAGAATACAAATGTAGAAAATAAAATTACTTTTGAGTCTTAAAGTGTCGTTTGTTTAATTCCTGAGTCTGTGGACATCAAATCAAAACCATGTACGGAATCAATGTGGGACTTGAACTAGCACCATCTAGCCACCTGTGAAAGGAAAAGTCTAAATAAGATTGCTATGTAATGGAACTGGTTCAGATTAAAAACATTTGAAAGTTAGGAAACTAACAAGAAGAATAAATGTTTGTTAATCGGTGAAACTAATTCAAGCAAAAACCATTTTAAAAATGACATTTAAAATCAAAAGTTGACAACCTCAGGAATCAATATATAACTAATATAAAAATGACATAAGTTGATTGTTATTACTGTACTAAAGATATGGTATCCATTGGATAAAGGTCTGTCTGCAGAAGAGAAGATAAAAGAGTGAGCTATCTATGATATAATAAGTCTATATATTACACAAAAGTACACCCCACCCAACATATCTACTCTCTGCTCTCCCTCCATTTAACTTTTAATATTAAACTAAAGTGGCAGTAGTAATAAGTGTTCCAGGAAATGTTTTTAAAATTCCTCTCAGCTACACTTGAACTATGGTCAGTGATTGAAAATACAACTGCAACTGCACAAGATCTGCATAGTAAGAATCTTAAGATGCTTTGTATGTTTCTATGTCAATAAGATAAATATAGGTCTGTGTAAGATAACTCTCAGAGAAAGTAAAAAGAGATTTGTTTTCAAAGTACATCAAACATAAAAAACATAAACAGCATATGCTCTTTTTAAAACATCCAATGTGACCAATTACTAATTTTAATAATCTCAAAGAAAATTCCAGCTTTGTTAATGGCAGTTTTTGCATTGCTGATGAGCATAGTAGTCCTACAGAAGCTTTCCATGTTTCTATTACAACTACCCCGTGCCCCCCACTCCTGCCCGGTGAGATTAAACACTGACTAAAAGAATGTTCAATATATTGTTAGACCAGCCAGATGGATCAACTTGTCATTTTGATTTTCTAACATCAATCAACCTAGTTTACATGTATGACCCAAGGCTACCTTATGTGAGGCTTATAAAAGTAAGATGAGGACAACTATCCAGGTAGGATTGGCTTCATTAGGTGTGATTAAAGCCATTCAATGTACATGTAACCATAACACCTACCTCATCTAAATATACATTATATTGATTTTTTTTTAAAATTTACCTCAAAATGCTGTTTTGAGAGTTCAAAAGAGACTACATTAACTATTTAGAAATTTATATTTGACTTGCATTTTGTCAACGAAATATATTTATAAAATATTAAAGTGTTTGTAAAACTGTAAGAAATTTTTTAATTATATTGCATGGTAATATATAGTACCTGGAGAAAGACATCAAATCAAACGTCAACCAATGCCAACATCACTCAACCATCAAGTCACACTAATCTAGTGATTTACTATTTTTCTGAGGCTTCTCCACAAAGAGGAAATAATCCACATTTGAAATAAGTTTCACTATAAACAGATTTTCTTCTGTTAATCCACAATTTCCTTTATTAGTTCTCCACACAGTAGAGGTCTTTGTATTGAATTTCTCTCTAAATAAAATGAGCAACAAAACCCAACTGTCATGTTTTATGTGGGGAGATATCTAGGTAATCAATTGCTGAGTGGGGAGAAAGCAACAGCTGAGCATACTTAAAGAGATCAAGTCAAACGAACTTGAGCCTATGCCCTCTAAAACCACTCACTTCAAAAAAACAGATCTACTGATAGAGGAAAGTGATGGTCCATGGGGGGGGGGGGGGAGAAAGAGGAAGGAGAGAGGGGGTGGGGAGAGGTAGGAAGAGGCAGTAGCATAGATATAGTAACAGAAGGCCGTTACATGGTTTATGAATTATAAGTGTTATATTGTTTAAAGTTTCTGAAAGACTGAATAATTATTTGTGGATGCTCCTACAAACAAATGAGCTGTAGATTCCTTAGTAGGTCAGATGTTGAGATTTCCTCTCGTTCTCCACAAGTCACTTGACACCAAAAGATCTCCAGCCAGATCTGGTAGAGTGGGATGCTAAAAACAACTTTCTGTTCCCACTGTGTAACATTAACACATGACACACTGAACTATGTTCTAAGTTCTAAGACAATGGCTGGACTAAATTTCATTCAAATAAGGTGACTGAGTGTGTATGAAAGTCAGCATCCATGGATGTCATCAGATGGCAACTACTAACAGCAAGTAGACAACCACTACCAGCATATAGACAGACAACAGCCACAACCAGCATATAGACAGACAACAGCCACAACCAGCATATAGACAGACAACAGCCACTACCAGCAAATAGACAACAGCCACTACCAGCAAATAGACAACAGCCACTACCAGCAAATAGACAACAGCCACTACCAGCAAATAGACAACAGCCACTACCAGCAAGTAGACAGACAATAGCCACTACCAGCAAGTAGACAGACAACAGCCACTACCAGCAAGTAGACAGACAACAGCCACTACCAGCATATAGACAACAGCCACTACCAGCAAGTAGACAGACAATAGCCACTACCAGCAAGTAGACAGACAACAGCCACTACCAGCAAGTAGACAGACAATAGCCACTACCAGCAAGTAGACAGACAACAGCCACTACCAGCAAGTAGACAGACAACAGCCACCACCAGCAAGTAGACAGACAATAGCCACTACCAGCAAGTCTTAGTAGACAACAACTATTACAAACAAGTAGAAGACTACTATTTACAAGTTTAGAAAACATAACAATAGAAGCTTAAAAATAATTAAGCAAGAATGCACTACTTATTTTCGGTATTATCTCCCTTTAAGAAAAAGCACACAATGGAGTCAACATTAATTGTAACAAAATTCCTTTCCGTACCAATATTGTTATCTTAGAAATTATCTAGGATATTGGAGTAAAAAATCCTACCTCTATCGAAAACGAAACGAAACAAGCTGTGCATTGAATCCGAACAGTAAGTAATAACATAGCCGAGACAAACACGGCCATGGCGTACCGTAATCTCTAAGCCTGTTGACAGCAGAAATCAATGCAAATCCTGGCCAGTGTCACATCGCGCGCCCCGCCAGTTCTGGCTACGCTCTCAAGTACGTCAAGTGGCAGCCAAATTTTATACCCTCGCAATTACTCACGGCTATTGACTGCGCTACAACAGACAGCAAACAATTCACTGCACCAGTTCCGCGTGGTCGAGATTACAGCTCGTCAATATTTTATTCGACGCGCCAGACTTGGTAAACAAACTATTTTAGTCACTGGCACGGCCAGAAACAATCAGCGGTTTTCGCGCCTAGGGGATGTGTACATTCACGTCATGTCGATACATGGATTATACGCGGCTATATGGGGAGAGGGGCAGAGGCGTATCCAGGTTTTCGTTGTAGGGGGAGCGAAAAGAGCAAAAAAAGGCGCCGATTTTTTAACGCGTTCCATATACGTGTATTACATATATATATATATATATATATATATATATATATATATATATATATATATATATATATATATATATATATATATATATATATATATATATATATATATATATATATATATATATATATATTCTCTTCTTCGAGCCGTTAGAAAACAAGCTGCAAACGCTCTCCCTACCTCCCCACCCCTACATGGTTTTAGTGAGCTGTGTTCACTCTAAATGTTTACAAGCAGAGCCAACGATTTTAAACGTAGGGGGGGGGGGAGGAGGGGGGGAGGGAAGGAAGGGGTGGGGTTATGGTCCTTAACGAGCTACTTATAGTGTTTTAAAGAAATATTTTCAGTGTCAGCGTTGGTACTGTCGAATTCACAAATTATGAATTATTGAAAATTAGAAACAACTAAATAGCGGCGTATGTTATGCTCTACACACTTGTGGCGGTGAGGTGTGTGTGTGGGGGGGGGGGGGGGGGGGGGGTGGGGGAGGGGAAGATAAACCAACTCAGAGTGAACATAGAGTCAGTTTTTAGATGACTGTTCTAAACATACATATATATTACACAAATATATATTACACAAATATATATTACAGAAATAGATTTTAATAAGTAGCAGTGGTATTATGACAATATTTTTTTTACAGAGGGGTCCATGGGGGAGGGGGGGGGGTGTAACTGTTTCATATAATTTGTAATCGTAATCACTATCGCCCAAACTGTAAGAATACTACTACTTCATAGTGTTGACGTTGTTGACCTTGTAAAAATTTCCCCACCACTACGCAGTTTGCTCATCAGTAAATTTAAATAGAGCTGCCACATCAGTTGTATTTGTTTCTGTATTGTAATTTAAAAAAAAATTAATCACACGATTCAAACTGTATATATAAAGTAAATATGTGTGAAGTTTTATGTATAACATTTTCTAATTCAATTATTCGTAAGCAAATACATTATACAGTTGCCTTAAACTTAGCACCCCTCTTGCCAAGTGGTACTACCCGTAGAGGTTTTTTAAACATTGCAATGCATCGTAATGGTTATTTTTTAGCAATATTAACAGAGAGAGATATTTCAACGCCAAGGGTAGACAAAGGTACAGAAAATAGTCCAAGTAAAGACAAGCAGTCAGACACCAACGGGTTTCGAACCTACCATTCCACACGGCACCTATCGCCATCGCCTTCCATGCATCAAGTCAGACATGTTACCGCTTCTACCACTAGGCCCTACAAAAAAAAGGCTTTCGTGGCAGACCACTCTCTTGGCTTGAGCAGGTAGACGCGGGACGGCTTTGACCCTTGACCCGAAAGGTCAGACCGCTAGCTTTCATAAACACAACAAGGACCATTATTCGACCATACAAACGACACACACACAAATACCGAGACGATGGCACAGACAAATAGTAGCTTCCTTTAAATGGGTGTAAACGTGTAGGGGGGTTACAACGCCTGCTTCCACCCCCCCTACACATGGTTATTTTTTAGATTGGCAAACTGATGCAGCTGTTAATACGTGTTGTAAACGTAGACACTACTAGACTAGTACAATAATGCTTAATTGCTGCATGAAAAAAAATCTTGTGATTTACATAGATGTGCCGACCAAAAATATTTTTTTAACAAATATCATTGTTTAAAACTTTGAGTTTAAAAAGTTTCCAAAAAGGCGCCACTTTGCTGAAAATGGCCAGAGGGGGAGCGGCCGCTCCCCCTGCTCCCCCCCTGCGTACGCTACTGGAGAGGGGGTATACAAAAATACGATGTTTCCTACTAATTAAGCTTCGTGCTAATACATCAAACTAACACACAGACAACCGTGAGTGTGTAAATCGTCAAGCTAATGGGGCATGTGTATAAACAATGCAGCTGACTACAGCTGTGTTAAAGACGCGATTCTTTTCGTGTTTTCCGTGTTGCCCCTAGGGCTTCCACGAAAGACCAAACAAAGATTACGGTGACAACACAATGACAACAGCCATGAAATTTTAACACATCTGTTTAAATAGCAGATCCACTAACAATGTCAAGTAGCAAATGTGTAGGTTCATTCATACGCAGTGGTGGCGAACTGGTACACAACACGACGTCGTGGCTGAGTACTTCGCCGTTAATTAATACAGCACTTGAGTGGGAGTGTTGGACATCTAAAATATTTCGGGATTTTTTTTTACTGCAGCACACACTGGGGATGTAGGAAGACAACACAGGAGAAAACTCGGGAGATATAAGACGGGCATATCGTGATACCATGATGACAGCAGGGCAGACAGGCATATCGGAAAACAATGATAACAGCGGGGCAGATGAGCATATCATGATACATGATATAAATGGGGCAACGGCATACTGTGATACTATGATACAAAAAAGGGCAAACTGGCATATCGTGATACTATGATAACAGCAGGGCAGATGGCCATATTGTGAAAAAAATGATATAAAAGGGACATATGAACAGATCATGATACAATAATCAAAGTGGGGCAGATGGGCATAATGAAAACAATGAAACAAGGCATATTGTGATACAGAGCAGACAGATACATTTTGATAACATAATACAAGTTGGACAGGGAAAGATTTGAGGTGCATACCCAAGCCTTGAGAAAACAATGCCATCAACTTTAATGAACAGCAGACATGACTGTACACACTGAACAAGGTGACTGTCTTTGAAGTCAATATCTGGGATTGGCAACCTACTAAATTCAACTAATTGTATTTCAAGGTATGGGGTCATCCATGAATGACGTCACGCTTTTTTGACGATTTTTACATTCCTCCCTCCCCTCCTCACAAAAAGCCAGTCCCCCCCCCCCTAAAATGACGCCACACCTCAGCCTACAACCCCCCTCAAAATTGCTGTTGAATTTTTCTTAAAACATCGATATTTTTCCAAAATCTTGTCAGAACTCTGTCAACATAGAGTATTTTGCTCATTTCCTATTACAATTTATTAAAACCGTTTTCTAAAATGCGAAATAACGGCTAAAACTTTTTTATAATGCAAAAAAAAATGTGACGTCACACAATCTGATCCCCCCCCCCTCTCATCACATACCGTCACAAAATTATGGACCCCCCTCCCCCCTACGAGAGTGACGTCATTTACGGATGACCCATTGGCACACACATACATATGGGGCTTGAATATATTTCCATTAATTAATTTATATGAGTGTAAATCTTCTAGAAAAGACAATCATCTATGATGAGTTCTCTTGTGTCTGAATAAAGATAGAATTTTAATAAGTGATTCCCAGAGTATTTATCCCAAAGCTATAAAGTAATCTAAACCTCAACACATGGATCATTTTGTTATAATGGTACATTTTTTTACATTGGGTCTTGAGGCACAGCTATGTCTAAAACATTGAGTTTTGGTTTTGACAAACAACCAATGCTATCACTACAGCTAACTGTATCTATATGCTTCATGTTGATTGTTCATTAAAAAGATCATCTAATATAGAGATCATAAACTGAAGCCAACCCGATGACACACAGACACAGCTGTAGAAAATACTAAAAGAGTGTATGGGACAGTTTTGGTTCACATTAGAGGGGGTAATGTTACATATTTTACAACTGGTCTTAGCTAGAAATTTGGGTTCTTGAGTTGTTAGTCATAAATTTTTAACTAAAGTGTGTCTCTTGTTCACTATATAGGCCTTGACATTTTGTTGTGTGTGGCCTAAGCTGGTTTTGAATTAGATATATGTAGGCAATAAAATAGCCTGAAATATGATGGTGAAATATAAGTACCATAGAAATGTTTTAATAAATAATTGTGGAAATCTAAAGTTAAACATACCTATCAATATGCAGCATTGAATTAAATTAATAAAATAGAGTAGTTTTTGCAAAACAAAAACAATACATGCTACCTGCTATTAATAGTTCATAACTATAAAATAAATCTATTGGTAGATCTTTGTTGGTGTTATGATATAATAATATATGTTATGATAAACCACAGAAAGACTGAATACGAAATGCAACATAAACAGTTTTTTTTAATTGCTACAGCATGTTGTTTTAATTTGTGTGTTTTGTAATATTACAATGGATATACTTAGGAATAAAATAGGTTTCTCTGCCCCAGAGAAATTTATTTGCCCCTGCACATTTTCAAGTGCCCCACCGCCTCGGAGAAAAAATACTGAAAGAAACACTGTCTGCGTGAGTGATGTCTGCGTGAGTGAGATTTATCGACCAAAAGTAGGAAATGGGTCAATATTATAGAAGTAGGCTCTACTTTTAGTCAGTAAGATCTACAAATGCGACAAGTATTTCTTTCAGACTTTTGTGTTGACTATATATAGAGCCATGAACCAGAGTCAGTTTGTGGGACACAGTCAAGAACGACAGGTACTAAATTCAGAGATAGATACAGCTTTATAGTCAAGCATAGATGCACATGCAGGCAACTCTCTAGAATCGCTGTAACTAAACTATGCAGTATTTATGTAATACAAAGTATGTAGAACATGAGTTCATAAAAGAATCATAATCACTATTATTTCATACGAGCCGGCCCGCGGCATAACATACGCCGCTATTTAGTTGTTTTATGTTCTACTTTTCAGTAATTCATAATTTGTGAATTCGACAGTACCAACGCTGCCACTGAAAATATTTCTTTAAAACACTATAAGTAGCTCGATAAGGACCATAACCCCCCCCCCCCTTACGTTTAAAATCGTTGGCTCTGCTTGTAAACATTTAGAGTGAACACAGCTCACTAAGACGATGTAGGGGTGGGGAGGTAGGGAGCGCGTTTACAGCT